TTTCTATGAAGCTAATATCACCTTAATACCAAAGCCAGATAGAGAAACAACAGAAAAAGAGAACTACAGACCGATCTCCTTGATGAACATAAATGTGAAGATCCTTAATAAAATACTAGCCAACAGGATCCAACCAGATCATTCAACCAGACCAGGTGGGATTCATCTCAGGTATCAGGGATGGTTCAACATTCACAAATCAATAAACGTGATACACCACATCAACAAATTGAAAAATAAAAACCATATGATCCTCTCAACAGATGCAGAGAAAGCATTTGATAAAATCCAACACCACTTCATGCTGAAAACCCTAGGCAAGATAGGCATAGAAGGAACAGTCTACAACACAATCACAGCAATTTATGAAAAACCCAATGCCAGCATCATTCTAAATGGGGAAAGATTGGAAACCTTCCCACTAAAATCTGGAACTAGACATGGATGTCCACTGTCACCACTACTCTTCAACAAAGCATTGGAGGTCCTTGCCAGAGCTATTAGGCAAGAAAAAGCAATTAAAGGAATCCAAATTGGAAACAAGGAAGTGAAATTATCTCTATTTGCAGATGACATGATTCTCTACATAGGAGAACCAAAAGACTCAGTCAAGAGACTACTGGCACTCATAAGAAACTTTGGCAGGGTAGCAGGATACAAAATTAATGAACACAAATTGATGGCAAAAGTGTACACAACTAATTCCATGGATGAGAAAGAGGAGAGGAATCTTAAATGCCTAGGAATTAAGCTAACTAATATGTGGAAGACCTCTATGATGAAAACTATAAAACGTTAAAAAAGCAAATAGAAGACCACCTTGAAAACTGGAGAACCTTACCATGTTCCTGGATTGGCAGGATCAACATCATCAAAATGACCATATTACCAAATTAATATAACTCTTATATTTATTCTTTTAATAGTGTCTTTCAATTCTTGAATACTTTTTTAAAGCGTGACCCAGCTCTGCTTCCAGCTTTTTGTTTGTTTTCCTGGTGACAGGAAATACCTTCCAGTTCTGAGATTCTTTCTTCTGCCTCCTTCATTCTATTTTTGAGACTCTCCACTGTCCTTTTAATTTGCTCCACTGTATTCTTCATTTCTGATATATCAGCTTTCATTTGATTCATTTCCAGTATAAGTTCCTTAAATTTCTTGAACTCCTGTATTACGTGCTTCTCATTGGTGATAAGAAGCTTTACAACAAGTGTTTTAAATTCTGTATCCCCCATTTTCTTGATGTATTCCTCAGTGAACTATGAGGTTGGTAAAGGGTTTTGCTCCTTTGATAGGGAGTCGTCAGTAATATTCATTGTGCCTCTGTCTCTTCTTTTGCTCTTGGTCACTGTACTTCTGGTTAGCAGATTCTTCTCTTTGGAGCAGATTTTTAAACTGTCACCCACAGGTCTACAGTTTGATTTTACTTATTGCAATTGGTACAAAACTTTTTATTTGCAGTCACTTGTGCCACTCCCTCCAGGGAGTTCCAGGTCTGGGTTCTTCTGTTAGATTTCCACCATGGTCTCCACAGCCCCAGCTCCTGGATCATCACTCTCCACCTCCCATGATACCACACTGAGGCTGCACCGTTGTCTGTTCAACCTTTCTCCTGCTTTGAACAGTTCCCAAGATTAGGGAGACACCAGGTGTCCTATATAGCTAGGCTGTTGGTGGTAGTGACTTTGCCAGAACCTGTTGGATGTTAGGTCTGAGGGCCACACGAACCTATTTTGACCCATACAATGCCATAGTCAGTACCTCGCCAAGCTCAGCACATGCACAGCTCACTGTTTTCCCTGTAGTAGTTATTATTATTATTATTATTATTAATTACATTGCATTATGTGACACAGTTTTATACATGCTGGGATTCCCCCCATGGTGGATTCCTCCACCTTGTTGCATAACCACAGTTCAAGTTCAGTTGAGATTCTTTCATTGCAAGCATATACCAAATATAGAGTCCAGCATCTAATTGTCCAGATAAGTTCAAAGGCTTGTTGGGGAGACCTTCTCTGGTCTGAAGGTAGACCCGGCAGAGTATCATCCCAATCAATTAAAAGCCTCAACATAACATCAGCAACAATTTATAATGTTATGGAATTAATTGACATAGTATTGAGTTACCAATATGTTAAAAAAAAATGCAAGTTCTTAACCATATCCTGTGACTACTTCATTGACATTTCAATTTTAGTTTATATACAACCGTGACCCTGTAGCCTTTGCCACACTGTATAAAATGGCTCCTGATGTGCCACTAATAGAGTTCTTGATCTGCTGCCCATCAGGTTGGAGGACTACCTGGACCTGTCTTGGGTGGAACCTGCAGGATGCCACGTTGTTGCACTTCACTGAGGCAGAAATGAGTTCACTCCCAGCTCAGAGCATGTGCAGTCCTGCCCCACAGCCTTTGTCTCCAGACAAAATGGCACTCGATTCAGTTCTAGAGGGCTGACCGGGCTGTGAAATCTACCCTGCTGCCACACTACCCTTCTGGGACCTGCTGCTCTGCCTCTGTTCCTGGTCAAATCAAACAGATGAGCAGGATGGGCAGTTCTTTGTCTGGCTTCACTGCCTGAGCTCCTGGTGTAAGTCCCTTCCCATCTTGTTGCTGCTGTAGTTCTGGCTGCCGGTACAATTCGGATCAGCACTCACAGAATGCTACTGGGTTATCAGTCACTGCAACACCACACCGTTATGTTCGCTGCTTTTCCATGTCTGTCAGTCTCCAGGTGCCCCTCTGCTGTCCTTCTGTCCTCTCCTATTTCCTACATTGTGCCCTGTCTGCTTTACACCGGCTAATGTTTCTCCATCCATTTAAACATATCCTTACCCTATCCTGCCATCTTGATTCTCCATGAAGATGATATTTTTACAAAGCTTGAGAATTTTACCAGAAGACTGGAATGTGTGTGTATTAAATCAAATGGAATTTCTATAACTGGAGCTTACAAGTAGAAGGACACTTCCTTGTGACTAGTACGGAAGGTTTTCATGTCAGTAAGAACACCCTTACAATATGCTTCTCTGTATATTACATATGGTTTATCCTATGATTTTCCCCCTTTCTTTAAAACTAATTCATACCCACTGTAACTAATGAGGCAGTAAATAACTGTAAATTATTGACGTATAACCACCAATCTTCCTTCCATTCCTGCCACCCCAAGCAGTCACTAACATCGCATCTTCCTCTGGCTTGTATAAACACCCACTCCAAAGGGAGATCAGCCCGGCAACCTCACAGAAACCAACGCATCACTGTCTCAGTCCAACCCAACACAGGCCATCAGAGCTCACGTTAGCACTATTTACAGTGGCCCCAAAGCAGAAGCAACTCTACCGTCCACCAATGAATGAACACATGTGCTCTACCCAGACACCATTCTGCCCTCAACAGGAGTAAGTACTGCCAGGCATTCACACACAGCTAAGCCCTGAACCCACAGTGTCTGGAGCAGCTAACTCAGTGCTGGAGACACTGTCTCCACTTCCCTTCCGACCTCGCTGCTCATGCCAACCTTCGGAGGTCACGCAGGCTGTCTGAGGCACATGGCTCTAGTGCTGCAGGCATTTGGGGATGAGCCAGCACACAAATGATCTTTTTGACACTGTCTGTTTTTGTCTATGTTTTTCAAATAAAATACAACAGTGGCAGCAGCAGTCACATAGCAGTGCAAGGCCATTCAGCTGAAGCGGAGGAGAGAGGGCACAGAGGGCAGGGGCTCCCCCGGGCAGCTCTGGACGTGTGACATGCCATGGAGCCGCTCACTTGCACATGGAAGCTGCTATTCTTCCTACTGCTTCTCCCCGCCCCCTCCGCGCCTTATCTAAAAAGCCAACTCATTCTAATACGTGAGAATGATATTTGGGAAAAATGCCCACTTCATCTAACCATTTTCCCTCCCCCATCCCCACATTCTGTACCTTCTTGGCCACTGGCAACTCAGAGCAGAGGGCACAGGGGCAAAGCCCTGACGTACTGGGACATACTGGGACACACTGTGAAGTCACACTTTTAGCCCTGGTATGTACCTCTGCTTCTAACTGCTGCTCATCACAAACACGTATCAGCAGGAGGCTGGTGCTGGGAGCAGAGCTGGAGCCCCAGTGCAGATACTCAGCTATGGGATGGGCCCCAGCACTGTGCAGCAGCCAGCCCCACACCGGGACCGCTGACACATGTAGACACACTCAGCTATGGCATGGGCCCCAGCACTGTGCAGAAGCCAGCCCCACACCGGGACCACTGACACGTGTAGACACACTCAGCTATGGCATGGGCCCCAGCACTGTGCAGCAGCCAGCCCCACACCGGGACCACTGACACATGTAGACACACTCAGCTATGGCATGGGCCCCAGCACTGTGCAGAAGCCAGCCCCACACCGGGACCACTGACACGTGTAGACACACTCAGCTATGGGATGGGCCCCAGCACTGTGCAGCAGCCAGCCCCACACCGGGACCACTGACACATGTACAGACCCAGCCAAGATGCTAATCTGCATCTCCTGACAATCAGTGGGGCTAAATATTTTCTCATCAACCACTGGCCATTTGCATGTTTTCTTGGCAGAAAAGTCAATTTTCGTTCGGTGGCTTTCTTTATCAAGACGAGTTCCTCCTACATTTTGAATATGAATGCTTAATATGCCAATCTTCCCTCCCATTACGAAGCCTCTTAGCTCTGTTTATAAGCCTTTTGCCCATCTTCTAGCTAGTTACCATTTGGAGCCGATTTACGAGGGGCCAGAGTGTTGCTAGTTGTGGCTGCTCAGCGGCTACACAACACAGTCACTCCCTAGGACTGGCCCTGGTTGCCTGGCTAGGACAGCTTCCTCCTGGCAGCCGGACACTCCGGCCTGCTACAGCTTCCTGCCCTGATCTCCTGAAGGAGACCACAGCGCAGTGCTGGGGAGACGGCGCCCACAGATCCAGCGGCCACCTCTACAGAGGCAAGCAACTGGCTTCTGCTCCACTCAGTGCCCTACCTGCATTGCTAAAGTGTCTCTTGTTGGGGTGACTGTAGTTGTCTCTTGGGTGTCCGTGCATCTGTGGGCCATGAGAGGCAGGCAAATGAGGCTTCGGTGGGTGCAGGTTGTGAGAGCTGTGGGACTGAGAGAGCAGAGAATCTCGGCTTGAGCTGGACGCCTCTGGCCGGAATGGCTTCTTACCACCAACCATGTCATCTTTCTTCTTTTGCTCCTGTAAAGTAGAACAAAGAGATTAACAAGACTGCACTTGACTTCCAACAGCAAACAAACATCACTTCTATTCCCACATTTTTTGTGACTTGTAATCTGTCCCTTACTAGCTTCATACCAGAAAGACCACGGCATGAGTCTGACCTACGAGACAGCAGGCTGAGAAGGTGTGAGAACACGCCCGCAGGACGCGCTGCAGCTGCCCAGGGTCGTCCTGGGTGACCAAGTGTCAGGGAAAAGCCCTTTACACAAACACTGCACACACACACACCTCACCTCAAACACTGCACACACACACACACACACCTCACCTCAAACCCTGCAAACACGCACACACACAAACCTCACCTCAAACACTGCACACACACACACACCTCACCTCAAACACTGCACACACACACACACACCTCACCTCAAACACTGCACACACACACACACACACACACCTCACCTCAAACACTGCAAACACACACACACACAAACCTCACCTCAAACACTGCACACACACACACGCACACACACAAACCTCACCTCAAACACTGCACACATGCACAAACCTCACCTCAAACACTGCACACACACACAAACCTCACCTCAAACACTGCACACACACACACACCTCACCTCAAACACTGCACACACACACACACACACACACCTCACCTCAAACACTGCAAACACACACACACACAAACCTCACCTCAAACACTGCACACACACACACACGCACACACACAAACCTCACCTCAAACACTGCACACATGCACAAACCTCACCTCAAACACTGCACACACACACAAACCTCACCTCAAACACTGCACACACACACACACAAACCTCACCTCAAACACTGCACACACACACACACACACACCTCAAACACTGCACACACACACAAACCTCACCTCAAACACTGCACACACACACACACACACACCTCACCTCAAACACTGCACACACACACACACACCTCAAACACTGCACACACACACACACACACACCTCACCTCAAACACTGCACACACACACACACACACACCTCACCTCAAACACTGCACACACACACACACACACAAACCTCACCTCAAACACTGCACACACACACACCTCACCTCAAACACTGCACACACACACACACAAACCTCACCTCAAACACTGCACACACACACACCTCACCTCAAACACTGCACACACACACACAAACCTCACCTCAAACACTGCACACACACACACCTCACCTCAAACACTGCACACACACACACACACAAACCTCACCTCAAACACTGCACACACACACACACCTCACCTCAAACACTGCACACACACACACACACCTCATCTCTGATGGAACTACTAGGAACCCTTTAGCCTACTGCTTTCTAAGTTGCTTTTTCTGTTATTTCTTTTATAAACAAAAACTTAGTTGGCATTTTTTATTTTCCCCTTAATCTTTGTGTGTGAATGTTTTCTTCTACAGAGCTACCTATGACTAAACAGCTCTGCCTGTGTGGACACCATGACCGACCTAACCTATCTCCTGCTGCTGTACTGTGAACCATTCCCATCACAAATACATTCAAAACCTTCAACTCAACGATCCTGAAATTCAGTTGTTCCATCTTTCAGATTTTCCATGAACCCTTACCTGACCTTCCAGCATTTCTGATTTTCATACCTTCCTACAGGCCATCGCCCCTGGGGCTTTGCTTTCAGCCTTCCTGTAATGCTTAAAATCTGCACTGACGCCCGGCCATGTTAACACTGCATTTCTGGGTGTGTGCAAGCTGCTTCCTGCTCTTGCGGAAGACAACACCAGCAGCTGCTGCAGAGAGCTTCCGGCCAGCACAGGCCTTGAGCAGGCAGCAGGTGCTCTGGCACCTGCTGACACCATGGACACCATGGACACTGCTGCCACATTAGTGGAGCCGAAGCCATTGACTGCACAGGACCGGCCACTCTGTGCACGCAGGACTCCCTGCCCAGGAGCCCACCCTGCACGCTGGCTAGCCCCTTCTCCACACCCCCACTCCAACAAAGGAGGGCCACTCACCTGGGGACACCTTCTCAGATTAGCTTTGTGGGGTTTGTTTTATTTTAAAATTTATCATTTACTTTTATTGGAAAGGCAGATTTAAAAAGAAGTAGCAGAAAGAACTTTCATCTGCTGGTTCACTCCCCAAGTGGCCACAACAGTCAGGAGCCAGGAGCCTCTTCTGGGTCTCCCACATGGCAACAGGCTCCCAAGGCTTTAGGAAATCTTTGACTGCCTTCACAGGTCACACAAAGGAGCTGGATGGGAAGTGGAGCAGCTGAGATCCAAACCAGCACCATATGGGATCCCAGCACGTGCAAGGCGAGGATTCAGTCACTGAGCCTTCACACCAGGCCCTTCTGTTGGAAGATTTATTTTATTTTTTTGAATGGCAGAATTACAGGGAGGTTCATTCCTCAAATGACCACAATGGCCAGAGCCGGGCCAGTCTGAAGCCAGGAGCTCCATCTTGCCTTGCCCTGAGTGCTCATGTACGTAGGCCATCTTCCACTGCTCTCCCACGGACATTAGAAGGGAAGTGGATCGGAAGTGGAGCAGTCACTGATGCAACACTCACACTGCAGGCAGCAGCTTTACTCACTACACCACAGTACCGGCCCCACATCTGCTCCTCCAAGTGGACACCGCAGACATCCACTGAGACCCTTATATGTAAAAATTGGAAGGACAGCAAGGACATGGTTTAGAAAAGAGCAGGAAAAGTATTTTCTGCCTACAGTCCTAATATGTATTAGCAGTCAGATCTATAAACAGGTGGGAAAAGGAAAGACCCGGTGAGTACACTCCTCCAGGACAAAGAGCTCAGAGGAACAACTCCGCCAGCACCTGAGCAGGGTTGTCTATTTTATCCACTGAACAGCAGTCCAACCGTGTGACTACCAGTGTGGACTGCCCCGTCACCTGTCCCGGACCAGCAGCGTGCCGGGGCGTCCGAGCGCCTGCCCAGGGAGAGCCAGGCCAGGCCGTGCCACAGGCTTTCGCTGCCCGAGCGAGGCTACACCACGTTACCTCCTCCTCCTGAGACCGCTTCTTGTGAGCCATCTTGTACAACTTGTGCAGCTTCCGAGCATCAAATTCTGTGAACTTGGAAACAAAAATCCACAGGTTCCTAGAAACAAATCCAGAACAGTTCCAGTGAGTTCTAGAATTAAAACTTTTTTTTAATACTGAATTTTACTAGGGAAAGTCCAAATGCAGCGACCCCGGCTCCTGATCGGGCCCTGCCCTCCTGTGGACGCCCGGCCTCAGAAATTCAGCCCATCTCCCTGCCATGCTGCCCCCAGCCACCAGCGACAGCCGGCCAGGGCGGCAGAGCTGAGGGCAGGTGGAGGCGGGGAGCCGTCACACCAGTGATTCCAGGGAAGAAGGGTTCACTCTGGAAGAGGCGAGCACACACAGGAGTGCTGCCTCGCCCTCAGAAAACACCTGACCAGCATCATCCACCTGAAGTGGCCGGTTGTGGGGAAAGGCCTACTTCACAAAAAGCCAGGCACTGCCAGGGAATGCAGTGGGGGAAGCCCCTCCCAGCGCTCGCTGGCGCAGCGGAGCCCACCCGCCCCTCCCAGGGCTCGCTGGCGCAGCGGAGCCCACCGCCCCTCCCAGGGCTCGCTGGCGCAGCAGAGCCCACCGCCCCTCCCAGGGCTCGCTGGCAGCAGAGCCCACCGCCCCTCCCAGGGCTCGCTGGCGCAGCGGAGCCCACCGCCCTTCCCAGCGCTCGCTGGCGCTCGCTGCCGGAGCCCACCGCCCCTCCCAGGGCTCACTGGCGCTCGCTGCCGGAGCCCACCGCCCCTCCCAGGGCTCACTGGCGCAGCGGAGCCCACCGCCCCTCCCAGCGCTCGCTGGCGCAGCGGAGCCCACCACCCCTCCCAGGGCTCGCTGCCGGAGCGGAGCCCACCACCCCTCCCAGGGCTCGCTGCCGGAGCCCACCGCCCCTCCCAGCGCTCGCTGGCGCAGCGGAGCCCACCGCCCCTATGCTCGCCCACTGGGTGTGTAGGTGCTACCTCCGCCAGAGCTTCACGTGCTCCTGGTCCGAGTAGGCACGCAGACACTCGGCGATGCGGTCTCCGATCTTCAGCAGGCAGCTCCGTGTGTGCTCTAACTGCTCCTGCACACTCAGGCCCTTGTCAGGTTTGTCCAGCTGCTTCAGGGCCTTCTTCACCGGCCTCATCCTCTCCTTACACTGCAACAGGTCAACAGCAGAGAGGCATGATCGCGGGCAGCGGACCCGAACCCTCGGCTTCCTGTGCGCTGATGGCCCATGCCAGCGTCACGGGGCCCCCACCCCACGGGCGGCCCGCACCGTGGGAACAGGCACGCAGTCAGTCAGCAAGGCACCAGCACCCAGCTGCTGAGACCCCTTGCGCAGCCCGCTTTGCCGAAGTGCAGACTCCTCAGTGGCCTGAGACACAGTGACACCTCCAGAGGCACCCCAAAGCCCCAGGGCAGGGCGAGGCACAGCCTCACTGCCACCCGTGCCACTTCTCCCAGAGCACACCCGTCATCCTAGAGGTAAGGCACAGGAAAGGCTCCCACATCCAAATCTCGTCCTTCCTTCTCTCTGCCGACCAGCACAGCAGAAAAGGGGCTGCTTACAGGGTGAACCCACCAAGAGAAAACAAGAAAGAAAATGCTGGCAGCCAGGGAGATGCCTGAATGGATGAAAGCCAAACCCGCAGCGGGGAGCGTCCACTCTGACGCCTCTGCCTGCCAGCTGGGCACAGGCCACAGTGAAGGCTGGGCATTCCTGACAGAATGATACCAACCCCAAAGAAAAACCGAGACCGCAAGGCTGGCAGAGAAGCTGCCGCCGGCCCACTCAGAGCTCCCCCAGGCATCCAGGTTCCGACTGCCAGACACACAGGCACAGGCAGGAGCCACGCAGCCACCCAGGGCCACTCACAGGGCGGTCAGGAGGAGATGCTCAGAGAAGCACAACAAGAGAAGGATCTTAGAAACACAACACAGCAAGAGCAGTAAAAACCCAAGCAAAGTAAAACAATGGCAGATAAAATTAAGGGAATCTTCTAAAAAGCAGAACAGAACCCAGAAACAGAAAACAGGGCTGGGGGGAGTAGGAACCAATATCCACAGTCCAATGAGCCAAAAACAAGTCACTCGGGACAGAGATCTCAGAGAAGAAAGTGTGCTGCAGCATTGGGGTCTCGCGTGGGGAGCCCTGTCAGCAACTGTCAGCTGTGCGCCAGGGTCTGCAGACCCACCACAGCCTGGCAGATGCTTGTCAAGAATGTACAACAAAGAGCCCAACAGAAACACAAGAAGGTCCCGGCGTGGTGGCCTGGCAGCTGAAATCCTCGCCTTGCACATGCCAAGATCCCATTTGGGCGCCGATTCTAATCCTGGCAGCCCACTTCCCATCCAGCTCCCTGCTTGTGGCCTGGGAAGGTAGTTGAAGATGGCCCAAAACCTTGGGACCCTGTACCCATGTGGGAGACCCAGAGGTGCTTCCTGGCTCCTGGCTTTGGATCAGCTCAGCTCCGGCCACTGCAGTCACTTGGGGAGTGAATCATCGGACGGAAGATCTTCCTCTCTGTCTCTGCTCCTCTCTGTATATCTGACTTTGTAATAAAAATAAATGAATCTTTTTAAAAAAATTTAAACAACAACAACCAAAAAAACCCACAAGACAAGACAAATGATCCCAAATAGGTAAAGGATGTAATCAGTAATTCACTGGAAACAAGAATGTTCAACAAGTGTGCAAAGAAATGTCTAGGGCCTGGCGCGGTAGCCTAGTGGCTAAAGTCCTTATCTTACAAGCCAGGGATCCATGTGGGTGCCGGTTCCTGTCCCATCCAGCTCCCTGCTTGTGGCCTGGGAAAGCAGTCAAGGACGACTCAAGGCCTTGGGACCCTGCACCCCACAAGAGGCTCTTGGCTTCTGGCTTCAGATTGGTTCAACTCTGGCCATTGTGACTACTTGAATATCTTTCTCTCTGTCTCTCCTCTTTGTATATCTACTTTTCCAATAAAATTAAATAAATATTAAAAAGAAAGAAAGAAACGTTTGAACTACACCAGGGCCAGTGGCACAGAGTCCTCAGACTGGCATGATGGGCATAAGATGGCCAGCTGAGGCTGTGCCTTCAAGAGCACCTTGCCAACACCTCGTAGCGGACAGGGGGCCTGGCACCTGCGCTCCAGCCATGCAGGGGGCAGGACCTGGCACCTGCGCTCCAGCCACACAGTCTAGGGAAACCTGCACGCACATGGAAACGTGCGAAGCAGCTCAGCCTCAGCTGCTGTGGGGAGATCTGGAAGCTAGTCCACGTCATTATGAGCAGACTGAAAGCTCAAAGCAGAAGGAAATGAGGCGATGGAATCCCAGCCACAACTATCAACTCAAATAAACCTTGACAACAAGAATGCCAGGGGGATTTTGTAAGATTTTTCCACCTTATTTTGTAAGATGGAAAATGGAACTACTAGCCCATTTCACAGGATTACTGTGGAGACAACATGCACACGGGGCCTGGCTGCCTGGATGAGCAGACACTGCTCTGTGTAGGAGCCTCCAAGCACACAGAGGCACAGCAGGGCAGCCCCACACCAGCTCTCCTGGGATGCAGGAGCAGGGAAACGCAGTTCCTACGCAGCGCGGGACGGCAGGAGCTTCAGGAACCAGAACCAGCACTACTGACTCAGATCTGACAACCTTGCAAGGCAAACCAAGCTGAAAGCTTATTTTGGTCCAAAACTTTTAACACTGATACATCTTTTTAATAATATGCATTTTCCAAGAATGTTTTCAGACTCCTCCAGCCCTGGGTGCTCTCTGTGCTGTGAAGATGTCATCACTTGAGCACAAGGGAGCGGACTAGCAGGCAGGGTAACCCCGACAAGGGAGGTCGGCCCGACTACGTCAGCGTCAACCGCCGCCATGCACATCTGAACCAAGTCCTAGGGACTCTCCATCTGTCTCTCAGACACACTTTAAACAACAAAAATAACATAAGGTCAAAATAAACCTATACAGAAGAGTATTAAAGTGGCATGGTGCTGGGCCCAGCATGGTAGCCTAGCAGCTGAAGTCCTCGCCTTGCACGTACCGGGATCCCATGTGGGCGCCGGTTCTAATCCTGGCTGCTACACTTCCCATCCAGCTCCCTGCTTTGGGCCTGCGGACGGCCCAAAGCCTTGGGAGCCTGCACCCATGTAGGAGACCCAGAAGAGGCTCCTGGTTCCTGGCTTCAGATCGGCTCAGCTCCAGCTGTAGCGGCTGCTTGGGGAGTGAATAATCGGATGGAAGATCTTCCTCTCTGTCTCTGCTCCTCTCTGTATATCTGCCTTTCCAATAAAAATAAATAAATCTTTAAAAAAAAATAATAAAGTGGTGCGGTACCACAGAAGCATCAGGTGTTATCTTCTAACACTAAACAAAGAAAAATCCAGAAAACCAATGAGAGCACTGGCCATGTCATAGCTATGCACTTACTTACTTTACTCATTTTCTGAAGCATTTCTAGTGTGTAAATGGACTTCACATATAAAACAAAAAAACATACTTGCCCTCAGAGGGCTCACAGGAAGAAAACAGGGATACTGCAAAGAAAGAAAAACAGGCCTCAGAGGCCTGAAACCCAGAAAGAGAGCCTGGCATTCTGGCACAGCAGGTTAAGACAAGGTGGCATCTCATACTGGAGAGCCAATCAAGTCCCTGCTGCGTCACTTCCTCCCCAGCTGCGTCACTTCCTCCCCAGCTGCCTGCTAACGCGCCCGGGAAGGCAGAGGACGGGCCCTGCCCACCGCGCAGCACACACGACTGCAGCCAGAAGCTGTCTTTTTGTCACTTTCTCTGATGCTCTTTCATCTTCCATCTTTAAGAAAAAAAAGAAAGAGGACCTACGGGATACAGCCACATACTATCCTATGAACAGGAACATTCTTAGAAACTGAGAGGCTCGGGGAGTCAGCAGCCACGGAGGGGCAAGCCTTGGAGAGTGCAACACAATGGCCTTGGGGTGCACAGCTCCAGCCAGCAGCCAGGGACCCTGGGGACCACAGCCCCAGGCCCTGCCTATCACCTCTGGCTGCTGTGAGGCACACAGCAACACCTCCTGGTCATCTCGGCTCACAGCATGGAGGCGACAAGGCACACGCGCCCATACAGGCCTTGGGCACATACCCATATCACACTCTCCTGCCACACCATGGCACCTCCTGCCCTCCATCTCTTCTCAGTCTTTCCTAGTGCAGACCATCAGGTCCTTCAAGAAACCTTCCCTGACTCCTGGCCAGGAACCGTTCTCCCAGGCCCTTGGCAGTCCATCACCTCTGCTCACCACAGCATCAGCTCCCGACTCAAGCGCAAAGTCTCCAACCACAGAAAGTTACTTATGAAACATGGGAACCCTGCAGATGCCACATCTGGTCAGGCCAGCTCAGGGAACATGTCTGACTCACAACTGCCTCCCAGGGACCCCGAGGCCTTTCTGCCCAGAAGCACAGGTCATGCGATCCAGTCTCAAGAAAACCTGCTCCATGCCGGCCTAGTCTGAACACGTGGCCTCAGCTGCTAGAAGCAGTGTGTTTCCAATGACCTCACGATGCTTCCGGCCTTCACATCCTAAGGCTGTGCTTGCACCAGGCAGAACCCCAGCCCTCCGGCTTGGCACACCTCCCCCAGGACTTACTATGCTGAACGTCTCCTGGTCCAGATCATCTTCCTCATCCTCTCCAATGGGGACAGGCTCACTTCCTGCTGTAATATGGACAGGACCCTGAGATCGCTTTGATTTACTCGAAGATTTGGCATCACCACTTTTGGGCTTAAAAAAGAAAACAAGGAAGCATTGTCACGTGTGCAATCGTGCCCTGCAGGTGGGCTCCCCACGCGTCTGCACTGAAACAGTTGGCAAAGGTGAAGAAGTCAAGACCTCCGAGATGGACCTGTATGACTGACAGGTCAGCCACACACGGTCCCTTCTGTCCCTACGCACGCTCGGTCACACCACTGATGGCTCCCATTCCTCCACCTGCCAAGGGGACACTGACAGCAGTGCGCTGCAGAGCAAGGAGCTACTCCCTTAAAGTCTGCTGTGGGAATCAGCACTGAGTTCATGATTAATTCATCTGTAGTCCCATGATCTGCAGTGCAGAACAAAACGCAGTGGCACTGCAGCCCCGGGGGCCAGTGGAGGAAGACTGGCGGACCTGGCGCCTCAGCAGCACGCTGAGTGTCCAGCAGACAAGTCGGTGATACATGGAGAGTGGACAGACAACGCTGGCCGGACTGCTGTTTACGTTTTTCATCTTGCTTTATTCAGTCTTTCACTTAAAAAAATAATAATACATCTTTCTGTAGGAATAGAAATACAAAAAGCATTTGTCACGGGACAGTTTCTGACATTAAAAACTGGACAGTGATTTGAACGAGGGAACTTTCCATTGCTTCCAGTGTACTGCACACAGCTCCCTGGCACCGTCCTCCTCTGCAGGCCCGGAGGACTGCCACCACACTCCCCAACAGTGTGGCCTTTCACAAGCAATGGTCACGAGCCAAGGAGCAGAGTGTGCACGCAGCCTCCGGCAGCCATGACCAGACGGCAGTCAGTGACAGCAAGGATGTCCCAGTGCTGTACCACTTCCGTGGTTCAAGATGATAGAACAACTTTATTTATTTATTTATTTATTTGTTTATTTCTACCTAACTATCGCATCTATTTGGAATCTTGCACCCTTCAGATACACTCCCATTTAACAGTGGCCCATGCTCTTCTAACGTGAGTCTCAGCACATCTTCTAGGCAGTCACCCCCACATGCAGATTTCTCCATCCAGTATATTGCACACAAAAATTCCCCAAAACATGCAGTAAAACATCAAATAAAGTGACAAAGTAACAAAGCCCACACCTGCCCCCGCCCTCGCCCTGCCCCACCCCCACCCTGCCCCGCCCCTGCCCCGCCCGGCCCCACCCTGCCCCGCCCCTGCCCTGCCCCCGCCCTGCCCCACCCCCACCCTGCCCCGCCCCTGCCCCGCCCCGCCCTCGCCCTGCCCCGCCCTCGCCCCGCCCTGCCCCGCCCCCGCCCCCGCCCTGCCCCACCCCGCCCCACCCCGCCCTGCCCGCTGCCTCTGTGGACAGGCAGCTTGCCCAGGACCCTAGGGAGGACACACCCATACCTTCTCCTTCTTCTCCTTCGACTTCTTCCTTTCCTTGTCCCCTTCTTTGTCCTTCCTGGAACTCGCTGGTTTCTCCTTATTCTCTTTGTTGTCTTTCTTCTTCTGTTTTTTCTTCATTGGACTTTTTTCTAAGCCGTCATCCTAGGAAAGGAAGACGACCATGAAGAGCTGCCACGACGTCCCGTCTGCCCGCCGGCCCTGCGGGAAGGGCAGTGTCCCGGGCGCATGCCCCCATGTCACCAGGCTTATTTCCAAGTGCAGAGTCTCACGTAATTGTCCACGCTCCAGTAAAGACAGATGTTCCTAACTTCCTTCCCTTCAGTTCATTTTCATAACAACCCTTCAACACAGCACTCCCATTTCTCAGACAGAAAACTGAGAACCAGAGATGATGTACCCGTAACGAACAAGGCTGCCAGCAGCTGAATTCACGCGTGGAACTCAAATCCACGACGCGTACTGTACCATTACTGACCCTCTTTGCGCTGAAAGGCACCACTGTTCCCTGAATTGCAGAACAGAATTCTACGAAGTCGCCTTTAACTGCAGCAACACAGAGGATGATACCAACGTACTTTCACTTGTCTCAGACAAGCGCTTACAGGCACTTCTCGCACCACATCCCATAACGGGGCCCCAGCATGGATGGCTCGTACTGCTCAAGAGTGGACAGGTCTGCACCCCGCCCATCCCGCAGCCCCCCTGCCATTCAAGTTAACTGAAGGTGTGAAAAGTGCATCCTGCTCCTCCTTCCGCGTCATTCACACGTGACAGCGTGGAAATGACTCTGGAGACTCCGCACACCCAGCCCCTCTTGCCTCCTGTAGGTCGGTTAACTAACTGTGGGCCCTGGCAACTCCCTTCCTGCCTGAAAGCAACTGCGTGGCTCTCACTCTGACTGCAGGAGAGCTTAACAACCCCTGACCTCGCGGCTCAGCGCAGTGACTCCTGGAGTGTAGCGGAGCAGCTGTCACCAAGCTTGGGAAATAAAGACTCCTTCCAACACCCTACACTCGGGTCCAGCGTGATCTCCCTCGCACACCCCACAACACCCCAACGCACAGAGCGTGCTCTGGGTCAATCATTAGCTTCCCCCTTGCATTCCCCACTGCTGAATGGGCAAGCCGCGTGCCAGTCACCATTTATGACTAATACAGACTCCTGTCTTACTTCCACTATGTATGGACCTGCAACGCTGACTTAAATGGACAACTCTGGTCCTCTCTCACAGATTAATAAGCAAAGATACACACATTCTATGCTCACTGTGTCTATCCCATGCAAACCAACACATTTCAAATAACTGCCTGTGGGCTGCACAATGACTACAGCCAGAAGAACGCCAGCCCCAGCCGGAGCCCAGCCTCACACCTTCACCTCGCCCTCCTCGGAAGGGTTGTCCGAGTGCCGTGGGGAGGAGAGCTCCACCCCACGCTCGTCCTTCGGCCGTGGAGCTCTGTTCTCCTTTTTCACTCTAGGCTTCCGCTTCTTCAACTGGACCTGGAAAGAGAGAGAGCAACAGTAAAGCCACAGATCAAGTGCCTCGGACACACGACCGCACAGCAGCCACAGAATTCAAACAAGAACATCCAGAGGGTACCAGTGCTGTGCCTGGGGCGGTGAGGGGCGGCCTGCAGGCCTGGACATTCCCCACACCACAGAAAACTCAGTACTCCTTTAAATCTACTGAGTCACAATTTTGGGATTTATCTTAAACATAAGGTATTTTAAATGGGAAAGAAAATCTTTCTGCTAAGCAAATGCAACCATCACTAGAAACACAGAGAAGCTAGAAGGAAGCAACAAAAAACAAGAAAACTAAGAGGCTGTTTCTTCACTCACTGGATACAGGTGCCTGCTGTGTCTCCAGGCACCTGCAGTGTGCGCACTGAGCTGCCAGGATGGGCACCCCACACCCTCACCACCCCAGCACAAGGGAAACAGACCAGGGTGGACCCTGGAAACTTCATCTAAGTTGGCTGTGTCTGTGACAGAGGGAACCTGACGCAAATGCCCTACTACAGAGGAAACACACCAGCCGTGCCCAGTACAGGCCGTAACTCAGTGTCTCCAGACTGAGACTCTCCATCTCTCTAGGCCAGAAAAGATATGATCACACGGGAAAACAACAAGGAAATAAAGCTCAGAGAATACAGGCAACTGAAATGCAGCGTCTGAAGCAACCACGGGTTCCAACAGTTCCCTCCACCCGTGAAACCCCAGGCAACACCAGGGCAGGGACGGGGTCTCTGCTCAGGACAGAGCACCGGGGGCACACCCAGAAAGCTGGGCTCGGGAGACTCCTCCCGCGTTGAGGTTGGGAATGCGTGAGCAAGTGACCACAACACCAGGTCGGTTAGCCAGGGGCACTGTGATTACCAACAGCCACGCCTTCGTTCCCGGGAGCTCACGAGCCCAGCACCCTGAGCCGTGCCCGCCACAGCGGGGCTGGGCTGTGGTCTCCACCAGCGCCCAGTGCAGCCCCTGGAAGGTACTCACCTCGTCCCCCCCAGCCGCGCTCCCCGTCTTCTCCAGCCCCTTCCGGAGCAGCTTCAGCAGGTAGTCGGCCCGGGTCTGCAGCTGCTTGCCCTGGGGCTTCTTGTCTGTCTCCACGGGTAGAATCTTCAACAGACAAGGAGAGGCCCCGCCCACGTCCAGTTAGTGGAGCAGCAGCGACAGAGCGCACAAGGACTCGGCGCGGTCCTGCCCTCCCCGCCCACCCGGAACACAGCAAAGCCTCAGATCCTCTCTCGTGTCCTGGCTCCCAGTCACTGACAGTCCCTCACGAGCTGTTCTCACGAGCTCTCCCACTGGCTCCTACCTGTGCTGTTAACAGGGTAGGAGGGGCTCGTGGCTTCATCTGCTAGAGCATCCCAGCCGCGTGGATTTCCTCCTTCCAGGAGCAGGGACTCCCTGGAGCTAGGTTAAAGCTTCGGTTTAGATTGAAATGCTTCTTAGAGCACTGAGCTACATCAGCAGGGGGTCCAGTCCTGTCACCAGAGGCGGGCCTTCGGATCTGGTCTCAGTGCTTACAGCAGGGTGCTGTCACCCTCCTAAAACCCAGACGTGCCAGGAAGAGCCTGCCAGGAGCACAACATGCAGTAAATCCCACTCAGCTCTGGGCCAGTCAGCTTTCCTTTCCAGCCGTGGCTTTGCCCCTTCAACAGCCGGGTGGGAGGCTCGTACTGGGAGACGTACAACCAGCGCTGGTCTGCAGCACAACAGGCACGGAGCTCTGCACGCTCTCCGTGTGTGACCCTGAAACGGGCTTTCATCACTAATAAACTGACTCTGGTGTTTCCTGCAGTGACATCTGACCTCTAACGCAATGGAACTGTCTAATTTTCCCTGTCATTCCCCAGAAGCCACACCTGGCTACCGCCTTCCCTTACTATCCCCGATGACACAGTGCCGTGGTCCACCACAGCTGGCGGCATTTCCATGGAGAAGAGAATCCCAGGAATTAGCAGTGACCCCCCAAGAGTTTAAAAATCAGTAATGAATATAAAAAGAGTATAGAACAAATCTTCCAGAAGACTCCAGTGCAGAGTGACTTACTTTGTCAGTTAATTTAAGCTCTGGGTCCGTTTTGATTAATTCCCAGTTCCCATAGCCGTGTTCGTAAATCCCCAGCAGCAGCCGGGAGTCGTCCTCCACACCCCACTCCACATCAAAATGGGCAGCTTTGACACGGCAGGCCAAGCAGTACCTGGAGCAGCGGAAGGCAGGACGTCAGAAGGGCCTCAGTGTGGAAGCAGAGCCCAGGACGAGGCCAAGGAGCGACGGCAGCTGAGACTGCAGTCTGTCATCTCAACTACCCATCATGGTCCCAAAACACCAAACAACATACACTCACTTCTTTTTCTCTTCAGGGTCCACAGGAATAGATTTGTGCAGCATTTCAAATTCTTCTTCGTGCTGGATAATGGATTTCACATTCACCTGCACTCCAGATATCTTGATGGTCGGGCCCCTCCTTTTCCCAGGGCCTTTCCCTAAAGGACAAAGTCACACTTGTTAAGTAACCAGGACCACCAAAGCCAAAACTTATAGTCTCTCCTAAAAAACACCTCACACTTATTATTAGTTCATATATCTATAAGACAAAAATTCCTTCCCTTCTAAAGCTTGTAAAACCATTTTAATGGGCTGTCGGTATGACCCAGTAGGTAAAGCTGCCCCCTCATACGGGCACCAGCATATGTCGTGGCTTCTCCACTTACGACCCAACCCAGCTCCCTGCCAATGCCCTGGCAAAAGCAACAGAAGACACAAGTCAGTGGCCGGCCATCCCGGGGCAGGTGCAGAAGAAGCTCCCATCCTAGTACTTGGCTTCAGCCTGGTCCACCCCGGCCATCGTGGTCATCTGGGGAGTGAACCAGCAGACAAAACTCTGCGTGTGTGTAACTCTTTCAAACAAGTAAATAAAAATCTTTTAAGAAATCAATCAAGTTAATACCTAATACACATTTGAATGATAAACTGAAGGTGGCACAAAAATGTATCGAAACTCAAGCTACAAAATTCAATGATCCTATGGAAGCAAAATGAAGTCCAACCATTCTAATCCAGTACTGTAGTGGAATGCCACAAGACTGACGCAGTGAGGGAAAGATGCCTCTTAACAGGACCCGGGCAAGGCACAGGCATCTGAGCCCACAGTCTACAGACAAGACCATGCAAACGCCCTGAGTGTAGGGAGCAGGTGAGCGGCTGCACCCACACAGGCGTGCTGCTCTGAGCTCCAGACATTTGTTCCCAGCCCAGCTTCCTGCTGTGCTTCCAGAGGCAGTGCTCAGGCTCTGCACCCACATGGGAGACCTGGGGAGCTTCCGGTTCCTTGCTCCACCTGGCCGAGCCCTGACTGCTGTGGCCATCTATAATAGGTGAACTGACAAACGGAAGCAGTCACGGTCACTCTGCCTCTGTCACTGTACCTCGCAAGGAGAAGAAAATAAACTAAACCAAAATATCTTTTAAAATTATTTCTTACCAACCAGGATGTCAAAAACCTAAAAAGTCAACAACATTCCTATTGTGTCTGGGAGACCTACCAACAAGTACTGAAAAACACTGCCAGAAAGGGCACAGCGCTGTGGCCTAGCGGCTAAAGTCCTCACTTTGAATGCACCAGGATCCCACATGGATGCCAGTTCTAATCCCGACCACCCCAACTCCCTTGAGCTCCCTGCTTGTGGCCTGGGAAAGCAATCAAGGACAGCCCAAAGCCTTGGGACCCTGCACCCATGCAGGAGACCTGGAAGAAGCTCCTGGCTCCTGGCTTTGGACTGGCTCAGTTCCAACCGTTGCGGCCGCTTGAAGAGTGAATCAATGGACAGAAGTTCTTCTCTCTGTCTCCTCCTCTCTGTATATGACTTTCTAATAAAAATAAATAAACCTTATTTTTAAAACTCCATGAGGTATAAACAAAAATGGCAGCAGCCTAATGCCATGATGGCCACGTTGAAGCAAAGTCCACCTGCATTTCCTCCAACCCTGCAAGCCCACCCTGGATCAGGTGGGAGTAAGAATTCTGAACGGACATCTGTCTCCATGCTGGGATCTGTAACAGCCAGGAGGAGGAGGAGTGTCTTCATGAATTGAGACAGAGAGAGAAGCAGGTGCAAGACAGAGTAACTCTGAGCAGAAAACACACACTCACACACATTCCTGTGCAGGCACACACATGCTTAAAGATTGACTTGTTTGTAAGGCAGAGTGACAAGGGAGGAGAGAGAAGGAAGGAAATATAAGTGAGAAAGATGGCATCCATTCACTGGGTCGCTTCCCAAGCTGTCAAGATGGTGGACGGGGCCAGGCTGAAACCCGAACCAACTGCTAAGTTACTGCAGATCAACTTCAGAGAGAGGTGACAAGTGCAACTGCAAGCAACACTTAGCTTCCATTCTTTGGTTCACTGGCCCAAACGCCTGCAACAGCCAGAGCTGGACCAGGTTAAAATATGTAGCCTAGAACTCAACCCGAGTCTCCCATATGAGTGGCAAGGATGCAAGTACTGGAGGCATTCGGTCGTTGGATGCAGCTCCCCCAAGAGGAAGCTTATCTCTGCAACATAATGCCTGCCTCTCAATACTTCTAAACTCACAGTTCACTCACTGTACATTGTCAGTGGAATGTATTCTACTGTTGGCAGAAATGCTGGTATTGGTGTTTGGGCATGTATGTGCACATAAGTAGCATTAAAGTTAAAACATAAGTATGTTACTGTTTTTAGAAACAAAACTTTTCAGCTTGAGAGAAGATACAGATCACCTCTTGGCCCAGGCTCACATTTGCAGCTCCAGTGGAGATGTCTGCTCTCTCTTTTCTCTCAAACTGAAAATGTTCCTCCTAAATGGAGCAAAACAAAGTGAGAACCAAAATTTCCAACAATGGCTGCCAGATCTGCCCGCGCACAGAGCCGCAGCTCACCAGCTTTGAGGGCAGCCTGAGTGTAGTGACACAGAACGGTGGAAGTGGCACGGATTCAGACGGCCCAGAGAACTGGGACACGACATCCTCCTGGCAACAAGGGTGCCCTTGAACAAGACCCACGCCAGAGCCAGCACCTCACAGGACCAAGGCAACTCAGGCATTTAGCTGAGCATTCAGTGTCAGCCAGCTGGGGTGCTTAGGCATTCGGCATCAAGTTCTGCTTCTGCTCCCAACCCAGCCTCGTGGTGATGCAGACCCCAGGAGGCGTTAAGTGACAGAGTCCCTGTCAGTCACATGGGAAGCGGGTTGGATTCCCCGCCCAGCTTCAGCCTGGTTTGGCCCCCATCATCACAGACACCGAAGGAATGAACCAGCGGAGAGGAGCTAGCTTGGTCTCTGCCTCTCTCTCAGCCCCTCAAATAAATCAATGGGACAGAAAAATCTACTTAAACAAAAAACAAAACAAAAACCCGTCAGGTGTTTAAGAGAAAACACACTTCAAATCTCAACATTAACATTTGACAATACTCAACCAGTGTAGTTCCATTAGCTGTCTACAGCCTTCCCTTGGTCACAACAAGGTATGCATGTGTATACCCAAGGAACACAATCCAGAAATGGTCCCCTCTCTGCAGCCAAACAGCAGAGGGAGCCAGGTGTGCTCTTGGTTTTGTCCCGGGTCTCACGGCATTCAAACCGATTTTCACATTTCATCGGGCACGCGGAGCCACGGCTGCCTCTTGCTCAGCACCTTCTGCCAAGCCCCTGGTAAGCGCACACCCCCTCGCAGCATCAGGCATGTGCCCTACCCAGCACGCTCTACGAGCCTGGCAGCACGAGGGAGGCCAGCTGCGGGCCAGGCCTGACTCACCCTCACCGGCATTCTCCTTCAGCTGCTCTTCGTACTCCTGCATCGCAGACACACAGCTGTTGTGGATCAGCTCGCCGAGGCGTCTCAGATCTGCCACAGACTTGTCCACCAGCTCAGCATCCCGCGCTATGCACTCCAGCCTAGGGGGACACACGGACACCCTGAGGATGCTGCACCACCTTCTAACGCCACGGCAGGGATCACCAGGGCTCAGACAGACACCGCTCTCCAGTTTTTGTATTAGTCAATGCAGTTTTAACATAAACCTTGGGGCCGTTACTAAAAGCTAACAAAATCCTTTTCCATCACAAAAACTTTCTTGAAAGATCCCACAAAACAAAGTAATTCTGACAAGCAGAGAGGAAGATGTCTAACTCAGGGTGGTAAACAGGCGGGCCGCCTGGCATTGCTGGCAAGGCGCTGTGTTGTTCCTGCTCTTCCCTCCCCGCTGCAGCAAAGGCAGCTGCAGGTCGCAGAGAGCACGGGGAGAGGCCAAGCCACTGCCCACACTCCGAGGGCTTTCATAGCAACCGAAGGGCCCAAGGACCGGCCCTGTAATCTCAGTGCACTCAGAACGGACAACGGCATCCCCTTCACATCGCTGACACTGGACCTCGCTGAGACACAGTCTCCCTCTGCTGAATGCTGCAGACTCCTCTTAGCAAGTTACTACTGGGAAGGTGATGTCAGCTCTTCCGGTGACTTCTTAACAGACATCCTGTTAATTCACAGGAGATGCCAAGCTGACCCTCACCGTGACATTACTCCATCTACAGATGAGACTCACACAGGAACCAACCCGCTCAGTCTGGAGCATCCCTGTTCCCCCCTCTCTCTCTGGGCCTGCCTCAGCATCTCTATTAACCCTCGGTGCAAGGCCTGGCAATAACAGGAACATCTCAGTGTTTGGAAAAAATGTTCCTAGAAAGAAATGTTCCCAGTGTTAGTACTGAGAAGGAAAGACCACCAAAAAAGAACCTACTATATGTGGAAAGTGACAGACAGGAGGGTACGGACAGGTACTGAGCTTACCGTTCAAGAGGGAGACCAAACTTCTTGTAAGCCTTGATAAACCTGAGAATATGACCAAACAAATCATATTAGAAACAACACCTTATAGCTATGCTAAGGCAAAAATACTCTGGAATAAAATGTGAGCCATGCAAACTATCAAAAAAGTTTGGGCCAATTCCTTACAAACATCACAAATGTTAAATGTCTTCAAATTATCCAGTTTAAAATCATGAATGCTAAGGATCTATTCAAATTAAAGACCAACTTTGCTCCAAGAGACTGGTCAAGAAACTGCTCAACAGATTTGCAACTGAACATGGAACAGTGCCTCGGGCAGACACACACCTGCCGAGTGCAACCTGTAAGCCCCGGGCCAGGCCCTGGGCCACAGGGCAGATGCCTGCACCCCACACATAAGACCGCGGGCACCAGCGCTGGCTCCTGCCCACTTCCTCACTTCCTGCTGCGTGCCCGCCGAGGCAGCAGGTGGCAGAATGAGGTGTAGCCCACGGGGAATGCGTCTGCGGCTCCAGCTCAAGGGCACACTCTGCCTCTCCGCCTGACAAGTGTGTGAGGTGTTGAGTGCAGTGAGCTCTGGCAGCAAACACAGTGGACACTGAGACTGCTGACTGCGGTCAGTCACACGGCCCCGGGAATATCTGGACTATCTCACACTCAAATGCTTTTTGGAATGAGGCAGAATACAGAAAAAATAATTTTAAATTTCTCAAGATTTTGGAAACTGTTGATTCCCCCTGCCCAACTTTGTCTCCAACCACAAATCCAAGCTCTCCCCCCAAGTCTCTCCTCTCCATCTGCTTTGTCCTCACAGGACCCTTCCCTGCCCTCAACTCATGCCCAGCATTTTTTCCTTTATTGGTTTTTTTTTTAAGATTTATTTTTTTTTATTGGAAAGTCAGATATACAGAAAGGAGGAGAGACAGAGAGAAAGATCTTCCATCCGTTAATTCATTCCCCAGGTGACCACAACGGCTGGAGCCAATTTGATCCAAAGCCAGGAGCCAGGAGCCTTTTCCAGGTCTCCTACGTGAGTGCAGGGTCCCAAGGCTTTGAGCCATCCTCGATTGCTTTCCTAGGCCACAAGCAGGGAGCTGGATGGGAAGCGGGGCCTCTGGGGCCCAAGTGGGATCCCGATGCGTGCAAGGTGAGGACTGTAGCCACTAGGCCATCACATATCTCTAGCATTTTCCTTTTTTTTTTTAAGATTTATTTATTTATTATTACAAAGTCAGATATACAGAGAGGAGGAGAGACAGAGAAGATCTTCCGTCCATTGATTCACTCCCCAAGTGGCCGCAACGGCCGGTGGGTGCTGCGCCAGTCAGAAGCCGGGAACCAGGAACCTCTTCCGGGTCTCCCACGCAGGTGCACAGGCCACAAGAAGGGAGCTGGATGGGAAGGGGGGCTGCCGGGATTAGAATCGGTACCCATATGGGATCCCGGCGCATTCTAGGTGAGAACTTTAAACACTACACTAGGCCATGGCACCAGGCCCATCCCTAGTACTTTCAATGAAACTTGCAATGTTACAACACCAAGAACATCAAATGCCAAATTGTTACAATATGGTTTATGAAACAAAGAAATCAGACAACACAGTGCTTCCAAAAAATAGCACAGAGCCCACAATGGCTGAGAAGTCACGCTCAGGAAAGAGTAGGGATGTGAGGGCTGGGAATGTGCAGCCCTAAGGGTGTGAGTCTGAGTCCTGGCTGCTATACTCTGACTCAGCTCCCTGCTCAAGTTCCTGGGAAGGCAGCAGCAGACCGCCCAAGTCACTGGGCCCCTGCAACTATGGGGGCGTCAGGGATGGAGCTCCTGGCCCTGGCTTCAGCCTGCCCCTGCCCTGACCGGTGCAGTCGTTTGGGGAGTCCATCAGCACGTGGAAGAACTCTCTAACTGCATCTTTCCAGTAAAGAAAGTCAATCCTGAACACGGGGAGGCGAAACGGCAGCCGGGAGACTCGGCGTCAGCTCTGCGGCTCTCCGGGGCCACCGGAATGTTTATACATGAGCAGTACCGCTTGTGGGAGAAGCACTTTCAGAATGGCACAGGAAGGGGTCCAAAACACCAACACGTACTGAAGGAGTTGTGGAAGTCAAAGGTTTGCAGTAATCTCTGAGGCACTGATGTTTTTGAGAACATGGCAATTCAGGGTGAACAACACACTATGCCACTGTAAGCTAACCTGTCCCCGTTCCAGCTCCAGTGCATCCTTGTGCAACACAGCAGCATCAGCCAGCATCCCAGCCACTGCAGAGCAGAGTAAATGGACCTAGACCTGCACACAGGCCCCACCCCTAGACCTCCACTCAGGCCTCACCCCTAGACCTCCACTCAGGCCCCACCCCTAGACCTCCACTCAGGCCCCACCCCTAGACCTGCACACAGGCCCCACCCCTAGACTTCCGCGAAGGTCACACTCCCAGCCAGCAGCACCCTGACCTTGCACTTGCCCAAGCAGCTCTCTTCTCAGGCCTGTCTTCTTGTGAACTCAGAATTCACCCTGTGTGAACAATCTTGTCCACAGTTCACTGCTTGCAACAAGTGAATACAACATCAGAGCTGCTTCCAGCAATGTTACCAGCGGGGGAGATCAGCAGCTGGCCAAAAACTGAATAGGAAAATCTGGGGGAAAGACTTCCCCAGGACACCGTGGGAAGCTCCGCTGAGCTGTGGGGAGCACAGAAGGCCACCTGAAGCAGGTCTGTCTGCACGCCTAGGAAGCATCTGAGATGGCCCAGCCATTCCAACAGGTCCTGTCATTATCGCCCACTGCCCACCAGAGCAGGGAGACAAGCCCGAGCCAGCCGGAGTGGGCTAGACACGCAGGCTTTGGGCAGCACGAGCAGCCCTCCAAGCTAGCATGGAAGAGCCTGCAGACAGCACTGCGATCAGCAGATTTCACAGAGAATGCTCAGTCAGCAAACACAGCAAACTGGCCAGTGGGGGAATCCTGCCTGCAGCGTCGCCACACTGTATGACTTACAATGGCAGACTTTCACAACCAAGATTATGCAGCACAAACATTAAACAAAAATCATACACTCATAGGAAGGAGAAGTTAATAGAAACTACCCAAGGAAATCCATAACTTCATTTACAAAATAGAGTTTCTAATCAGCTATATTAAGCACACACAGGAACTCAGGAACTCCATGACCAAAGAATGACACCATGGGTATGGATTAACCTGCTACTGTGACCTGCATGCCATGACATGCCAGTTCCAGTCCTGGCTGCCCCACCTCTGACCAGCTTCGCAGTCACAGTCCTGGGAATGCTACGGATGATGCCCCAAGTGTCTGGGCCTCTGCCACCCAAGTGGGAAACCCAGACAGTGCTCCTGGCCAGAGCCCTGGCTGCCGCAATCTGTGACGTGGGTGGAAGATCTTCCCTCTGTCTCCCTCTGTGTGATGCTCCACCTTTAAATCAATAAACTTAAATCTTGAAGAATGAAAACAAGCCCTCAAAAATAGAAGAAAAACTAAGATGTGATCAAATAAAGAAAACACAGCTGTGTTCCTGGACATCTGCCGCACGAACACACAGCGGTGTCCTCCAGGCTCCTCCCACAGGAAAGGACAGGAACCGGAGAAGCCGCGCCAAGAAACCAGAGCGCTCAGAGCCAGGACAAAAAACGCCAGCAGACACAGGCTTTCACTGTAACGCTTTTCTTCCTACTAATGATTTTAAAAGACAACTACTTAAAGCAGTAATTATTAACTGCGTGGACAAGCCTAAAATAAGTAAAGATGTAACTTGTACAACTATAGCACAAAAAAGAAACAAGACATAGAGTTCATATAAACTTTTTCGATAAAAATTTATCCACTGGGGCCTGGCATGGTGGCCTACTGACTAAAGTCCTTGCTTTAAACACACCAGGATCCCAAATGGATGCAAGTTCTAATCCCAGGAGCCCCACTTCCCATCCAGCTCCCTGCCTGTGGCCTGGGAAAGCAGAAGATGGCCCAAAGCCTTGAGACCCTGCACCTGCATGGGAGACGGTAAGAAGTCCTGGCTCCTGGCTGTGGATCAGCTTAGCTCCAGCAGTTGGGGCCGCTTGGGGAGTGAATCATCGGATGGAAGATCTACCTCTCAGTCTCTCCTCCTCTCTGTATATCTGACTTTGCAATTTATTGTAGCCATTGAAATTAGGTTGGCATTAATCCAGAGGACATGGTTTTAAATTTTAAAAGTTCCTTATAATCTCCAGGGACTGTTACCACCAAGAAAATAACCTTTAAAACAGTGAAAGAAACTTATAAGGTAATTAAAACATCATAGCAAACCTGTCACTAAGGGCAGAAATTAATAGGCGACAGGACAGGAGCACTACCATGGACACACTGGCTGAAGGGCCAGACCACCAAGCAGCCCCACCAGGATAAAACAGGACCCCCGCGGCTACGGAGGTGGGCGGAGTTTGCGTCCAGTAGGACCTGTCACCGGAAGGGGCAGTGCAAAGGCCGCGCAGAGCACGGGAGCCCCGGCGGACCAATGAGCACGTCCTCTCCTGCTAAGGACAGGAGCGCCAGCGGCTCCCGCATCCCTGCCGGCAGGGGCGGAAGCCTCCTGCACGCTTCTTGGTGTGCCTTTTCCTCCCCAGGCTTCAGCTTTCTCTCCGCCTGTTCGTTACAGGAATGGACTTCCCCCCCACAACAAAGGCCTCTTGTCAACAGATGGCCGAGGCTTTTCTCTTTCCCTGGTGATCGGCAGACCTTACTCTGGCCAAAAGAGGAGACAGCAAGGTGACAACAGATGTCATGCTCCGTTTTCAATAAGACACAACAACTAAACTGTTTCCAGTTGAAGGAAACAGGACACTACCCTAAGAGCTGTCCACGGAGCACACTCCACGAGAGCAGCACAAACACTGTCGGGGGCAGCGAGCAGGAGTGACGCAGCACTGCCCAGCAGACAAGAAAGCAAGGCGGCTTTTACAGTCTCTCCTGTGTTCTCTAATATTAAAAAAACAGGCATAACATTTACGTGGAAACAAACGTCACAGCTTTGTATATTACTTAATGTAACACAGATTGGGCCATACAGCTAACTATCTCCATAATTTCCGATTTTCTTAAGGTTTAAAAAAAAAATCACACGGAAACAGAAAGACCTGGACGCAGCAACTTGGGGTCTCCCTTTTAGAGGGCAGAGACGTGAACCAACACCCACCAGTGGGGGGCAACTCCTGACAAAGGGAAAGCCTAAATGTAGTCCAGGTAGCAGAGAGCAAGCTGACCAACCAGGCTGTAGATCCTTCTAGAAAACCAGGGGAGCACGGCTGCAGCCTTAGGATGATAGGCATGAGCCGGCGAGCTGGCATTGGGGGCACGGAGCAAGCTGAGAGCGAGTGAGGAAGCCTTACACACATTATTTCTGCTGTTTGTATTCATACTTCCGTTTCTGTTCTCTTTCCCCTTGGCTGGACTTTGTTGTGAATCACCCAAGAATGGAGTGGGCACGCAAGAGACCAGAGAAGGATCCCGACAGAAAAGCCTGCAGAGGCGCCTCCCTGCCGGCCAGAGCCTGCTCAGCGGCCTCCCGCAGCCCCGCGCCAGCCCCGCGCCAGCCCCGCGCCAGCCCCACGCCAGCCCCACGCACCTGCGGATCTCTGCGTCCGTGAACCCCTCCACAAGGTCCTTGCGCACACTGCGGGGGCGCCCTCTGCGCTTGGGCTTCTTGTCATCATCGGAGTCCTCCGTCTCGCTCTCGGAAGCAGAGGACCTCTGGGCCTGCCTCTTGGACTCGGTGTCGGAGTCACTGTCATTCGTCTGAGCCTGAAAGAGGGCACAGCGATGTCACACTGTGGGGAAAGAAGCCCCAGTGCTCAGGGCATCAACCTTCCTTGAACTCACAGAGGCAGATGTCACGGAAGGAAGGAAAACATTAGACACTGGACTAAACTAAAACAGCCAGCCATTGTTGTCATGCCCCGTGTAAGTAGGTTCCTGTTTGTGTCCTTGGGCCTTTGGGCCTCTACGTGCTCAAAGGGCCGAGAACACAGGCTTCACGACGATCAAGCCGAGATGCAGGCCTGGCACACAGCTGCACGCTCGCTAAATGACAGCTAGTATTACCTAATCCTGACTCGTGTGATCTTGGGCAAATACCTCCAACAAAGAGGAACTGAGTCCATTTTCCCCATAAAAATGCTGCTATGAAATCAGTTCACAAGTGGCTGTGATGGTGGCCATCAAGAGCCTTAAACACTTAAACACAAAAAGAGCTTCCACCCCGGAAAACAAAAGCAGCCACAATTACACCCACACCGTGAGGACTCCTGGTTCTAATCTCCTAAGCAAAATACACCAACTTGGATCAGAGCCTTGGCACACAGAGCTGAACGGTCCCGCAGGCACACCCCAGCCCCCACTGCACCCCACTGCTCCAGCAGGCACACCCCAGCCCCCACTGCACCCCACTGCTCCCGCAGGCACACCCCAGCCCCCACTGCACCCCACTGCTCCCGCAGGCACACCCCAACCCCCACTGCACCCCACTGCTCCCGCAGGCACACCCCAGCCCCCACTGCACCCCACTGCTCCCGCAGGCACACCCCAGCCCCCACTGCACCCCACTGCTCCCGCAGGCACACCCCAGCCCCCACTGCACCCCACTGCTCCCGCAGGCACACTCCAGCCCCCACTGCACCCCGCTGCTCCTGCAAGCACACCCCAGCCCCCACCTTCCTCCACTCCCACTGCACCCCACTGCTCTGGAAGCCTTGGTGGCCACATGGAACCCTATCAGGGCTCTGCCCGGCCCCCGACCCCACCCTACCCCCAGCTCCTCAGCTTAAGGGCTTCCCTGCGCCCCCAGGCCAGGTCACCTTCTTGGTGGAACTCCGAATGCGTGGTAACATGTAGATCTCCTCCAGCTCCTTCTGCCGCTCCTCCTCTTCGACCTTCCTCCTCTGCTCCTCGGGGATGATCTCATCCCAGTCCTTGTGGGCTCGCTCCTCCAGCTCCTCTTCCTCTTCCATTGTGGCAAAGTTGGCAACCTGAACACAAGCGAACCGCCCTGTCAGGCTGCTGCTCCCAAACCCCAACACCCAGCACTGTTACCTGAGGCGAAGCAGAGCAAGCAGGACTCCTGGGATGCTGGCAGAATCGGGACGCACTTTTCCACTTAGCTTTCCTTTATCCCACCCAAAATCAAATTGACAAACCCTCAAGTCAGAACCAGAGGCAAACTAAGAGTTTCATGAAAGACTTATTTAATCTAAATTGTTCCTAAATAAATGCTAATAAATAATAACAGGAAATTTTACTTTATTTAGGTTATAAAATGTTAAACACCTAGTAATAAGCCATGAACAGTTTGCATTTCTGTAATTGTTACTAAACAGCTTCCACTTGAGACAATCGATAGAACTCAAAGAACTACTGTCACCCAACCAACAGAATGTCTCATTTGTTTTCAACAAAGGTAAAGTTATGCTCCAAATTACAGCATAGTCTCAGGAATTAAAATGAAAACATAAAAGGAAAAGATTCAAACAAACCTTAGAGAATATTCTATTTCCCATTACATTTCATTTACTACTGATACCTGTCTGTACACACAGTAGGTGTTCAAGCAGAACCCCATCTCACACCCGCACCTCTGGGGACAGAGCAGGCACTGGGCCGCACGAGAAGAGTAGGATCCTAAATCCCAGGGCCTGGCTCAAGCCCAGGCTGCTAGGCTTGCCACTCAGCCTTCTGCTGATTGGCTGGGGAAGGGAAGACATGCCAACGCATGCAGTACTGGGTTGCAGCTGCACACTTGGGACACCTCACTTCAGCCTGGCCCAGCCCCGGCTGCTGCAGCCATTTGAGGATGAACCAGATGATGGAAGAGCTCTTTCAAATAAACAAATTTCCGTTTTAAGATTTATTTATTTTTACTGCAAAGTCAGATATTCAGAGAGGAGCAGAGACAGAGAGGAAGATCTTCCGTCCGATGATTCACTCCCCAAGTGGCTGCAATGGCTGGAGCTGAGCCAATCCGAAGCCAGGAGCCTCTCCCCGGTCTCCCACGTGGGTGCAGGGTCCCAAGGCTCTGGCCATCCTAGACTGCTTTCCCAGGTTGCAAGCAGGGAGCTGGATGGGAAGTGTTGCTGTCGGGACACAAACCAGCACCCATGTGGTATCCCGGCGAGTTCAAGGCGAGGACTTTAGCCATCAGGCCACCACACCAGGCCCAAATAAACACATTAAAAAAAAAAATAGGGAATTACAAATGAGCATTCAGAGGTTCCAATGTTCAAAGTCATTTGAAACTAACAACCTAGACCATCCTTCATCCCCAGGTGCTCATAGGTCCGACAGCAAGCAGCAGGTCCCTCCCCCTCCTCCAGACACACAAGGGAAAAAACAGAAATACTTTCCTACCCACCTTCCCTCGTACCTCAACCTCCCCACCCTAATCAGAGACTCACATAGGCATGTATCCTCTCAACTATGTAAACAATACTAAGGAAAGAAAAAAAAAGTCAGAATTATAGAGAGAGATGGAGACAGATCTTCCAGCTACTGGTGCACTGCCCCAGCCACAATAGCTGCAGTTCACCTGGGGACTGACCTCCCCAAACACAGTGGCACCGTGATGCCAGGGCCGACTCAGGAGGCCTGGCCACCTTGCAAGAAGCAAACACAGTTCTACGTGGGTGTGGCTGTTAAACAGTGAGCCCTGACGGCCTGCCTGCTGGGCCTTAAACCAGGACGAGGATCCACACTTCAGCACAGGGCAGGGACAAGGCGCTGAGGCAGCTCACCTACATAAAGTGCTTGAAGCACGGTCACAGTTATCCAAGTCCTGGCACCAATGCTGAAGGAGACTATAATCCTCTAGCTGAAAAGAAGCCCTCTCCTGTGCTTCCCAAGTGTTACAGTAGGGGTGGTGGGAGAAAATCATCAGAATTAAGACTCCAGGGAAGCACTGCACAGACGCAGACTCTGTTCAGTTAAAATGCTAACTGCTGCACTAACATAATGACAAAAATACTTCAGGAAGGCAAAACCAACCAGTAATGGGTTGCCCATTTTTGATAATTTATAACACATAAAAGGTTCAGATCTAAGTAATTCAGACCAAGACACTGTTGATGAAGAGTCTGTGTGTTTACGAAGGTGGCAGTGCCAGAGCCGAGCCTCCTCACAAGCTCAGATGGAGCAGTGGACAGCACAATCAGGTGTGCATGGAGGATATGGGGGTCCACTGGAACCTGCAGAGGATACCTGGCACCACAACAGAGGACAGAACTAATCAATCAACTACCCCAGACATCTGTTGGCAGTGAAAAACTAGGTAAATGGAGACTCTAAGGTGGACTATGTCAGTCAGTGGATTTTGCAGCAACTTCATCGTGCTTGGAATGGCAAGATTGGTAGCAACTCATAACCGCTGAACTATCAAACCCACTTGAGCAAGACCCTAACAGCATGCCCCACATCAGGGACCTGGGATGGGTGGGAGGCTGGGTGGGGCTTCTCCCTTTATCTCCTCCTTTACCAGATACAGAAAAAAAAAAATGTGGAAATAGTAGTCTTACTTTCCTGTAGCCCTTTACCCTTTGTGCCCTAATTAGCTATGTAAAGATTGTCCAAAAAAAAAAAAAAAAAAGGCAGCAGTAGTCAGCGTCATGTTGAAACCCTGACCCTCAAGTGACGGTCCTCGCTAGAGGACCCCAGGAGGGGGTACAGCCCCTCTAATAGCAGAGCCCTCACCAGAAGCTGGCCAGGCTAGCACCTGCTGTTGGCACTGTTACCCTTCACAGCAGGCACATCTGTTATCAGCCGGCCTACCAAGGCAACAGAACTCTGATCCCAGAGTTCTGTGATCCACCCTGCCTCTCCCGGAGTCTTCCCGCTGAGACAATTTCCACCTCTGAAGCTCATTACACAAAGGCTGCCTCCCCCTTCCCCTAGCCCCCATTTCAACAGGTCTCCCGCCCAGGCTGCCATCAGGACCTTCCAGTTGCTGCCCTTTCCTGCCCCGCTTGGAATCAACCCTAAGCAAAGCTTCCCCTGCAGCGTGTTCTTCAATCACGGAGCCACAGCAGCCACTGCATCCGGACGCTCTGGCCCGTCCTCAGCCTCTCGTGTCCCTTTCCCACCGCAGGGGGACCAGAGATCCAATTTCTCTGCCTATGACCTGCCAACACATTACACAGCAAACTCCACAGCCTGAATCCTGCTGATGTGCCAGCAGGGCCCAGCACACGGCTCTCCCAGATCTTCCCACTCACTCACTCTGGAATTAAAATCCAGCCGGCCTCTCCCCTCTCCCATCTCTCATCTCTCTCTTCCTGAGAGGGTGCTTCTCCTCTTTCCGGGGCCAGATCCTCTATCTGCACTACTCACTGCTGCCTTTACCCGTCTCTTCTGGGCACTGTGCCACCAAATCACCTTCTTTCCTGAAAACCTTTAACGTCTTCCTATTAAGATTGTCCTTCAACTGAGAAACACACACGGCAGCTTTTCTAGATCTGGTCTGGCCTGCCCTTCCTGGCTTCATCAACGATCTTTCTGAGGACACACAGCTGTCTCCTCCTGTCCCTGTTTCTCTGCTTAGAGCTGATCTCTTTCAGCTTTCCACAACCTGACCCTTTACAACCTCCTCAACAGCATCACGAAATCATACCAAGTGCTCCAGGGCTTCTAGTCACGCACCTGCTCTCTGTGCCGCAGTCCTCCCTGTCTCTGCCTCTATTCATGCCCCCACCTCCCCCCATGGTCCTACACATCCTCCATGTCCCCACATGCCCCCATGTCCCCCCACATCCTCCATGTCCCCACGTCTCCACACATCCTCCATGACCCCACACATCCTCCATGTCCCCATGTCTCCACACATCCTCCATGTCCCCACACATCCTCCATGTCCCCACGTCTCCACACATCCTCCATGTCCCCACACATCCTCCATGTCCCCATGTCTCCACACATCCTCCATGACCCCACACATCCTCCATGTCCCCATGTCTCCACACATCCTCCATGTCCCCACACATCCTCCATGTCCCCACGTCTCCACACATCCTCCATGTCCCCACACATCCTCCATGTCCCCATGTCTCCACACATCCTCCATGTCCCCACACATCCTCCATGTCCCCACATCCTCCATGTCCCCACACATCCTCCATGACCCCACACATCCTCCATGACCCCACATCCTCCATGTCCCCACACATCCTCCATGACCCCACACATCCTCCATGACCCCACATCCTCCATGTCCCCACACATCCTCCATGACCCCACATCCTCCATGACCCCACACATCCTCCATGACCCCACGTCTCCACACATCCTCCATGACCCCACACATCCTCCATGTCCCCACACATCCTCCATGTCCCCACACATCCTCCATGACCCCACACATCCTCCATGACCCCACACATCCTCCATGTCCCCACACATCCTCCATGTCCCCACACATCCTCCATGTCTCCACATGTCCCCCACATCCCCACATGTCCCCACAGGGCACAGTCTCAACTATTCCACTGACTCTGGCCTGGACAGACACAGCTTTGGAACTATACTCAAACATGCTGTGTCTCAGAGGCAGAGGCGGGAACAGATCAGCACGGATCAAGCAAAAGGCAAAGTGCACGCAGCAGTGAACCACACCGAGCACCGCCACCAGCCCAACTACCTTAAACTGTGACAGCAGCTCATCTGTGGCACTTGTTGACACTTCATTCTCTCTGGTTTCAGCCAAGCGTAAAATTTCATCTATGTCCATTTCCTGAAAGAAGAAAAGCAGCAAAAATGTGGTTGATAAAAATTAAAAAAAAAAAAACCAACCAACATCGCCAGCATTTACTGGGACTATCAGTGCAAGTGACCCGGAGTCTCCCTCTGCATCTCCAGCACGCGTTCACTACAGCTCCCCAGCCGACAGGACAGGCCAGGTGAGGCGACTGAGTCAAGTCAGAAATGACAAGCAATAAAAAAAGGGGACGGGGCAGGACTCCGAGTCCTCAAATGCTTTAGTCACTGTTTTCTGTTAGTTAGGAGCTCTGAGTTGCAAACCACCACCTATACCCTTCCAGTAATGAGTCTGTTTACTGGAGTCTCTAACACAGACAGAATCTGCTCCCAGGAAAGCTGCTCTCCACACTAGGGGATACCTGTGGCTCCGACTCCTCCCCTTCCAGCTCCTTGAAGAGATCCTCGGCTCCAAACTTCAAGATGGCTGTCAGCTCTTCTTTGTTGAAAGGGTTGGAGCTGCAGAAGCAGATGCAGCTGTAATGTCTCAGGAATGTCAAATCAGCTCTGGGTTCTTTCTAGAATACCCGCCCTTCACAAAGGGTCCAGTAACCAGCAAAAATGTAAATTCCTCTCACAGAGAAAAGTTCTCTCAAACACTTCCTTTTTAGCAAGAACCCACCAGGCTGGCTGGGCTAGTCTGAGCCCACCTGAAGCCTGCCCCCCACCCCCGGTCCTGAGATGCAACCCCGCGTGACCCCACAAGCAGCCGGGCTGGGTTCTGCTAGACCCAATGGAACCTCTGCCGCATTCCCTTCTGAGTCAACAGGAAAAACCCACAATAATCTCCACAAAAACACTAACAGAAAAACAACAATCCCTAATTCAGACTGGTGAGTTCTTTCTGCTGGAAAGCCTAGCTGAGCCCACGCCGACCTGAGACCCACACCACCCACGGTGTCAGGCCCCACAGGGGACGCCACATACAGGAGAGCCCGGAAGGCAATAGACCAGACGGGGAAGACAAGGAAACGCCACCCTCTGAGTTGTGGCCTGGCATCTTCCAGGTCATGAATGGCCTGAGGTTTATAGCAGAGAATTCCGTTTTAAAAAATGGCTTCTATCAAACGACAAAGAAGTGCCCCGCCGGGCTCTGCCACTCACTTGGACCTCCCGGAGCTGTCCTCCAGGACCGTGCGGCCGGTGGTGTCCATGCGCTGGATCACCAGGTGGTCCAGCACCATCTTCTTCTTGGCCCGTTCTATGATCTCTTCCTCCACAGTCCCCTTAGTGACTAAGCGGTAAATGTTCACCTGCAAGGAGAGCAGAGTGATGAAACACAAACAAGAACGTTACCTGTATCTAAACCAAGAGGCAAAGAGATCAGACCCTGACAATGGCACAGACCACCGAGCCAACCCCCGGGAGCAGATAGGCACGCAGGACACTTGCCTCTGCACCAGCTTGCAACCTCAAAAGACGCGGCTATAGGTACTGATCTAGCTTGTTTCCGTTTTAAAGCTTTGCTTGTTTTCATTTTATGCGAATGGCAGAGATCTCCCTGCATGCACTCATTCCCCACGTGCCTGCAGTAGCAGGAATGGGCTAGACTGCAGCCAGGAGCCAAGGAGGAAACCTGGTCTCCCACGTGGGCAGGAGGCTGGGACAGCAAGCAGGGCTACAACTCCCATCCAGGCACTTCCAGATGGGCACAAGCCCCACATTGGTGTGCCAAACGCCCCCCTCTACAGGCTTGCTTTAATTACAAAATGTTTCCTTGACAGACATGTTACGGAAATGGACTGTTCAGCTCAAAACAAAATGAGTTAAGTTACCCGGATTCACTTAAAAAAGAAACAAACGTGTGGTTCTTCAATATAGCCCCAAACCAACAGCACCGCGTGAAACAGAGAGCGTTGTGCGCAACGCTAGAATATGGAGCACGCTCAGCTCAGAACAGAGCGAAGCGATGCTAGCTCTGGGAAGCCCACTGGGGACAGCCCAAGTTCCTAAGAGACCTGTGCTCCGTACAAGCCAGCACGTGGGAGACAGAGCCCCCGGGACGCCCCCCAAAGCCACACTAGCAGCCTCTCCCTCTGACCTGCTTCTTCTGACCGATCCTGTGGGCCCGGGCTTGTGCCTGCAAGTCGTTCTGGGGATTCCAGTCAGAGTCAAAGATGACGACAGTGTCCGCAGAAGCCAAATTGATTCCCAGGCCGCCGGCCCTTGTGGAGAGCAGGAAGCAGAAGTCCTGCACACAAGGCAATACACTACTTTATGCAGGACCTTCTCAGTCCGGTAAGCCCTTACACCTGCAAACCCCTGTGCTGTGAAGAAAAGGGAGCCAAGATGGGCGGACTTTACGTAGGCTAAAGAGTCGGGATCTGATGGCAGAGGGAATCTTCACCTGACTGAGAGGAAGGAAGAATCGGTGCAGCGATGAAGGAATAAAACAGAATCAGTCAGGAGAAGCCAATTATTGTTGCCCACTTCTAAGATTGGTCTATAAGAAGCTAACTCTCCAAAAACTCAGACGTAGTCATCCTGAGGATCATTACGGGGGTGTCCCTGATGCCGCTTCTGGGAGGGGAAGGAGACATGCCCCGTAAACGCCCGTCCATGGTCAGGCTGGCCAGCCGGCCATCAGGGAACACAGCCAACGGCTCGCCCCAGGTCACAGAGCAGAGCTGCGGAGCGGCAGACAGCAGACCATCAGCTGGCACACACTCAGACACTGCCATCTTCCAGTGTCCACAGCAAGGCAGACAGACTGGACAGGCATAGTACACCTAAGTTACAAGTCACAACAGCTCAGAGAAACACGTGGGCAGGAGGTACGGCATCTCCAAGCACGGAAGCCGTAGGCTCCCCTTCCAGGGAATCTGATGTCAAAAGCTAACGCTTACTAATCAAAGACCAAGATGACACCTTAACAAACGGGTCTATTTAACACAGACCCACTGGACATAGGGAATGACAAGGTCTCTGTGTTCTAATCTGCAGCCCCAGGCAGAAACACAGAGGAAACGGCCCGGCAGGAACCCTCACAATCCTGTCCAGGTGCTGGCCACAGATGCGTCCAGGCAGAGCTCACCGGCCTCGGAAGAGAAGCCCAACGCATGCACGGACAGTTCAGAAGACCACGAGGAAGCCAATGAAACCTGGCTTCTGCATCTCCACAGAAAGAATTGTTCAGTATCACTCTTCATTCAAAATAAAACTGTATTACTTACACTCCTCTGTGACAAACATTTCAGAAATTCCGTGCAGAAAGGGTAAGGTAAGATGGGAGTATCTGGGTACACGCCGTTTTAGGACAGCGACTTATAAACATGTAGACAAGATCGTGCTTAGATGCCTAAATTCTCCTAACCATATCCAACAATTAAATGTCTACATAATGATAGAGGTATGAATAAAAATTAGCATTTTATAAAAATCTTTAATGATATGAACACAAAGTTCATATCACAAAAAACCTGCATGTCCCCAGCACCTCAGATCCTTGCTAGGCAAGCACACGAAGAGCTGTACAGCTACCCCAGAGGCACAGAGTGGCAGGCACGGACGGACACAACACCAACTTTCACCAGCACTAGACAGCAGAAGCTGCTGACACCTGCTAGGTGCTGGCTGCACGCCAGCCCACGTGACCAGGCTGCTGACACCTGCTGGGTGCTAGCTGCACGCCAGCCCATGTGACCAGGCTGCTGACACCGGCTGGGTGCTGGCTGCACGCCAGCCCACATGACCAGGCTGCTGACACCGGCTGGGTGCTGGCTGCACGCCAGCCCACGTGACCAGGCTGCTGACACCTGCTGGCATCACACTGTTCTGAGAGCCGAGGAATCCCTGAGAAGGGGAAGAAGAGTGGCAGCGAGTACAGAGATGTTTTCAGTAATTCAGCTCCTCTTATGCCTAATAATTCAGAGCTTGAGTTTGGAACAGACTGTCCTAAGCATCAAAAAACAAGGTAACATTGTCCTGCAAAGGCACATGTGGATTATCTGTAACATCCTTTGTGGCCACATAGATTTATCAACTTGAAAAAGAAACCAAATCCCGAGCCTGCTCTAGATGGCCGAGTCTTGAGCCCTGCCTGTGGCTGCCTTGCAGGGCTTGAGCGGAAGCTCCCAGCGCAGGCTGCAGCTCCTGCACTCTCGCCAAGGCACAGCCGAAGCTCCACAGCAGCCGGACTGACGCTGATGTGGGCTGGAGGCCGGGAGGAGCAGCACCCTGCAGGAAGCAGCACAGGCAGCAGAGCCGGCCGAGCGCTCACCAAAGCAGAAAGCCAAAGCATTTCCATCTGCAGGAAAAGAGCAACGCGACTCCAGAAACAAACTCCCCCAGATGCCCAGTTCAGCCTCTCTCCACGGCTGTCCTGCCCATCTACACATCACACTGTCACTGACCCAAAAGGTCTTCTCAAACTCCCGGACTTCCGATAATTTAACGAGCCTCAACAGACATGTGCTTCCACTTTTGTAAATGTCCTGAACAGCTCTTTCCCATGTGTCCCCAAAACACGTGACAAAAGCTAATCCAAGTAGGACACTCAGTGGGCTAAAAATGGTGCTGCTAACCAAGGAGAGAACAGTGAGACACAGACAGCTTCCAGGCAACTGAAAGACTCTCACACATGCCCAATGCATCCCAGGCTTTAGTCGCCAGCACGGTGGTGATTACTGCCTCTGCTGAGTCATGCATGTCAAAGTTAACACCTTCTTGCTCTTCTGTGAGAGGAACTCTGGTGTCTCGGAGCCACAAGAGACCTCACGCATGACTAATCAGCTGGGGGCGGAGGGCAGTACGGGCGTGGCGCACACTCCTCCTCCACAGCAGACAGCATGGCGTCCTCAGTAACAGATCGCCTGCCTTCCCAAGGCGGGAAAAATGTACTACAAACCTGTCTCTACAACAAAACACATCAAACTGGCCTTTGGCACGACACAGAGCCCGAGGGCCGAGAGGAACGCCATGCGTGACCTACCTCAGATCCATCTGCGTTGAAATGATCCAGCGCCTGTTTCCGTATCTCTCCCTTAATAGAACCATCCAGACGCTGTGAAAACACACCCGAGGAAAATCATGAGTGGGAACATGCGCTGCACCCTGCACAGCACAGCCCCCAGCGCCATGTGCACCCAAGGCACTGACCATGGGATGCGCTGCACCCTGCACAGCACAGCCCTGCAGCACCATGTGCACCCAAGGCACTGACCATGGGATGCGCTGCACCCTGCACAGCACAGCCCCCAGCGCCACAAGCACCCAAGGCACTGACCATGGGATGCGCTGCACCCTGCACAGCACAGCCCTGCAGCGCCATCTGCACCCAAGGCACTGACCATGGGATGCGCTGCACCCTGCACAGCACAGCCCCCAGCGCCACAAGCACCCAAGGCACTGACCATGGGATGCGCTGCACCCTGCACAGCACAGCCCTGCAGCACCATGTGCACCCAAGGCACTGGCCATGGGCTCTGGGGGACAGTGCTCAGTGAATCCCCTCCCGACTTTCTCCCTCACACACCCCGGCCAGGCGCTTCAGAGCCCAAGAGCTTGCTAGGCCGCTGCAAAGCTCAGGATGGCTAGTGGGACCTAGAGATCAATGAACAGCCCACCCATGCTAACAGGACAGACTGGCTTCTAACATCTGTGGGTTCAGAAGAAATTAGGACACAGCACTGCTTACTGGCCCACTAGTAACTACCCCCATAGGACAGTTCTTAGCCCATACAACAGAAACATCAGCATTGCAGCAAAACCAAAACACTAAAAATACTGTGTTTGGAATACACTGTGCAAAACTTAACTAAAAACGTTAAAAACTGATCATATGCAACAGATCTTCCCAAAATTACACTCGAGCATCAGAGTCATGTGTGCAAACAGGAAGCCTCTGGCACTGAGCAGGACCAACAGCTCTTCATCAGAGTACGTGCCAGTCCTTGGTAAAGGACAACAACGTCACAACAACGTCACAGCTAACCACAGCATGCCACATGCTGCGGAAAACAGACGCTGATACTGCTCCCTGCGTGGGCCGCAGACCCTCAGCACTTCAATCATTTGCACACTTCATCCCTTAGAACCAACTCCTCATTAGAGCAGGCAAATGTGACTCTAAGAGACTGGCTGGCAGCAGGAAGCCCATGGAAGGACCTGCATGTCCCTGAGCTGGCCCCAAGTGCACCATGCATGCAAAGCCCCTTCCTTCTCACTCACTTCAACTCTACACACTGTCCTAACTCAGACAGGTCTCCAGCCAGCAAGTCACAGGCTATAGTTCAAAACAGAAAGTCCTGCTGCTGTGCTTGTCTTGTTCCCACTGGTAGAAACACTGCATCGACTGCTGACAACTCCCCGAGCGTGGATGAAGGGCTGCACTACAATGCCAACAGCATGTGTCCTAGGTGAGTGGCATTGAGCTGTACATGTGACCCTTGAGCAATGCTCGCCACGGCACCCCCTCAAGAGGCATTTCTCACACAAGGTGGGTGTCCGGCCCCTCTGCTGTGGGACCAAGGTAAGGGAAAGCTGACCACCACAACCTGCAGAACTTCTGAGTCCCAAGAAAGCCAAATGACTCACTCTTGATCTCATGTGGCAGCGGAAACAGAGGTGCACAGAGCTGCAGAGACACTGGTCCTACCAATAGCACAGCATGAAGCCATGTGCTCAGACAGCTGTGAAAAGCCTGCCCGTGCCTTTCAGAACAACATGCGACACTGCAGGCTGGACCTCTCGGCAGGCAACCACTTCCTTCACATTCCCGCAACAGCAGAGTAATGCCAAAAGCCGGCGAACGGTCCACCCCTCAGGTTAATCTCAAAAACAAAAGCATTTTAAAATGAACAACCCCTAGAACAGAGGTAAACAGATCAGAATGAACAGCCTCTTTTCCCCAGCGAGACAAACAAGAACAGAAGTGACTCAGCAGTGACATGGCAGGGAGGGCACACCCCCAGAGGGCTGTGGAATACAGGGGGTGCAACCCCACCATGTAGCCAGGCTCAGCTGTCACAAGGACACAAGATCAACTCTGTCTGTTTCTTTCTTCTGCATTCAGGTCTACATTTTTACCACAGACTTCAAGACACCATCTAATGTGCTTTTCTGTTAACCCAGTGCTTCTTTCTCTCATCCTCCAGAAGCCCATCCCTCTTCGCCTGAGAGCCTAGAGGTGACAAGGAGAACCAAGAGCCTTCTGGAACCTTAAGCACAATTATTTGAAACAAGAAAGTTTACTTTCCTACTTCATGACGAAAAACGGGCGCAGGGGGCAGTTACAGAAGCAGCTTACCTGGAAAGGATAGTGTTTAATGGTCAGGTACTCGGCCAAGATATCCAACATTCTCACCATCTGAGAGAAGATAAGGACTCTGTTCCCACGTTCTCGAAGCCTCGTCAACAGTTTATCTAACAAAATCAGCTTCCCGCTGCTCCTGATGAGGGACTGAAGATTTAAAAGACATTCCAATCATGATACGCAAGCACCCACACTCATCCCCCTGAAATCCTAAGAATTCACATTTTGTAACTGACTCTCACGCTCTCGGGATTGTGAAGGGTGTAGCCGTCCGGCCAGCCTGAAATCGCTGACATGGTCTTTTCAACCTGGTCTCTGTGATATCAAACTTCCCAACTAAGTAACCCTTCCCATCTGGCTTTCAATCGTTTGACGCTCCTTCAAGGGTTATCAAAGAGGAAAAGGAGCATTTGCATCCCAAGTGTCTGGTTTTGAACACGATTGTGACAAGCGGATTATGCACACACCATTAGCATCTCCTGCCCGTTTTCTCTCTCGTTCTCCTCCGGGGGCTTAATCAGGTAACAGTGGTTGCAGCACTTCTTCAGCTCCATCACAATGTTAAGGAAACCCGACGTGCTGCCCCGTGTGCCCTTGGCCAGAGCCTTGTAATTCCTGGTGAGGATCCACCTGCAAGTCAAAACAACAACGTGTGAGTCTCATAAACAAATCAGACCGCCAAACACCTGAAGAAAATCAAGTAAACTGAAAAGACTCAGCAAAGACGCAGGGGAATGTTTGTACTGTGCATCTTCTGCCGCTCTGAGCCCTCAGACACGGGTATTTCAACCTCACTGAAAACGGAGACATGAAAAGAAAGCAATTGTGCCTGACTCTCCCCGCACTCCATCCTTGCCACACACACACATGGGCACACACACTTACATGTATTCATATATTGAGATAAACTCACGCAGATATATACTTAAGTGTGGTTGCATATATACATATGCGGAAAACAAGAATACTCATTGAAACAACACTACAATATAAAATGGGAAATCAACTGTCAAGCAGCAAAAGAGTAAATAAATTCAGCTATAACGGTAGAGATAGAAATTATATAACCATGTTAACTGTTGCGAAAGAATGGCAAAAGGCTCATGATGTAGCTTCAGCACATCAAAGCTGAGAACTAGGGGACGAGTCACAGATAGATCTCCATGCACACAGCATCATCCTTTAACTATCACCCTTCTAGGAACGTATCTGAAGTGTCACTGCAGCATAATTCTGGAAGCAATGCAAATGCTAACCCAGGAAAGTGGCTCAATAGATGACACTGCAACAGGCCACTGCAAGGAGAAGTGCACACACTGCTGCGAGGCGCTCTGGGCACAGAGAACTGAGTGAAGGAACGCTCGACTCGACACAATCCCCCTACTTAGCTACAAGTCAGAATGCACTGGCTCACACGCCAAAGCTAGAATATAAAGAAAGGACAAACACTGCGATGTGAAAAATGGTGCCCAACGGGAAAGAGGGACCAGACTGGAAGGCATGGGGTCAGAAGTTGCATTTCAGAGAACACACCAGGCTTGGTAGCTTTGTCTATTGGAATTCTTAACTATTTTAATCACCAAAAGTGAGCAATGCAATCACTACAAAACAATATTAAAACTAAATATATGAATTTTTATATACACAATGGCCTAAATCTACAGAAGACTCTAACAATCTTTAGTGAGATCTATCCTAAAAAAGCAAAAGACATTCTACTAAACAGTGTTATTCTGGGGGTGGCACAGGGCTGTGGCACCAGCACCCACCAGGGATGCCAGTTCTGGAGTCGTAACTGCTCCACTACCCCTCCTGGGGGATGCCTACTTTGGCCCCTTCACCCAGTGAAACGTTCCTGGCTCCCAGCTTGGCTGACGCAGCACCGGCTACTGCTGCTAATCGGGAAATGAGCCAGCAAACGGAACATCAATTTTTCTGACTATTTCTCAAGTAAAATAAATAAATATTACTGAATAATCGTAATCTGTTATCACTGACACTGCTTTTGCAAGATGTTTGTCTGAGAATGAACTCTGTCAGCACGGTGCAGAGGCTTCTGCCCGCTGAGAGAGCAGTGGGCTCAGTGAAAGCCCCGTAGCATCACTGCTGCTACATGCCCCTGGGCCCGTGCAAAAGGGTCTTTTATTTGCATAAAACCCACATGCAGCCGCCACTGCAGCCTTAAATCCTTTCTATTTTACTGACATAATATAAATGTTCTGTGAAAGCACAGCACTGATTAAGTTAATGAATAAGCAAGAAAATGAGGTACAATTTTTATTATTTTTTATAACTTATATTTTAAAAAGGGAAAGTTACAGAGAAAGAAACTGCAAGATCGTCCACCTCTCGGTTCACCCCCAATGCCCACAACAGCGGGGCTTGTTCCAGTAGAAGCCATCTGGGTTTCCCATTAGTGCATTAGCAGGTGTCTCTACTGAAGCGGAGCAGGGACGGAGCCCAGGCACCCCACCACGGGCTGCAGGCATTCCAAGCAGCACTGACACCAACTCCCAAGGTTTTAAAATGCTTTTAATCCTTGGGGTAACGTGGCTCAACAGGCTAAGCATCCACCTTCAAGCACCGGCACCCCATATGAGCACCAGTTGTGTCCCGGCTGCTCCACTTCCTATCCAGCTGCATGCTTATGGCCTGGGAAAACAATCATGGATGGAACAAGTCCTAGGGGGCCCAGCACCCACATGAGAGTCCCAGAAGAGGTGCCTGGCTCCTGGCTTCAGACTGGCTCAGCCTCAGGAGTGTAGCTACCTGGGGAGTGAACCAGCAGGCGGAGAGACCCTCCCCGGTGCTCTATCACTCCCTCTGTGTGTAGTGCTGCTGTTCAAATAAATCAATTCCTCTCAAAAAGAAAGAAAGAAAAAGAAGAGTCTAGCGAGTGGGGGCACCCACTTGTAGTACTGCTTCTGCAGGGCCGACATCTCCACGCGCAGGATCTGCTCCACCTTGGCGGGCAGCGACTTCTCCACGTCCTTCTTGACCCTGCGCAGCAGGAAGGGCTCCAGCACCTTGTGCAGGCTCTGGTAGCCATTCTCTCTTCCTCTCCCATGGTCTTCTTCAAAATCTTCCCAGAACTCAAACCTAGGGACAAAGAGCAGTACTACTTAGCAGGACCCAAGAGAGTGCTTTCACAAGTAAAATTTCTTTTCTAAGGGAACAAACCTTGTAAAATAAAGTCAATCTGTCCTACAACAACAACCTACAACCCCCAGCTACGTGTGTGTTGTATAAACGCTGAAGCAGCTCCGTGTGCTTCACTGAGGGCCCCTCAGGAGCGGTCCCGAAGGGCGCAGTCTCTCTCCGACACCAGGCCCTTCTCTGCTGAGGTCCACCTACACCACGTGGCCTGGCGGGCCAGACCCCAGCTCAGACGTCCACATCTGGCCAGCGCCTGGGTTCCAGTCCCAGCAGCCTGCTCGCACAGCCTCTGGCGGAGGCAGCGGCCCCGGCGGAGCCCTGCTCTGAGTTTCCCAGCTCTTGGCTCTAGCACTGGCCCAACTTCAGTGACGCAGAGTGTTTGGGGAGTAAATCAGCAGATGCAAACACATTTTCTCATTCAATTTTGAAAGTTTATTTATTTACCTTTATTTAAAAAACAGAAATTTCGTGTTGGTTCACTCCCCAAATGCCACCACCTGTCAGAGCTGGGCCAGAACAAAGCCGTCTCCGTGTGAAGAGCAGTGACTCAAGAACCTAGGCCAAACTGAAGTACCAACCATTTGCAAAAATCCTAAATACCTGAAAATTTGCACAATTCCAGTATGCCCAGCAAACCACACGAGAAGCTAGAACGTAACTGAAACTGCAGCACGAGCATCGGTCGCAGCAGGCTGAGCCAGCGCCCGAGTCACCAGCTGATGGCATCAAAGGCCCAGAAACCCGCAGCTCCCAGGCTGGGAACACACAAGGAGACCGGGCAGGGGTCTCCCACGGAGACCTGCACCCGCGGGAGACAAGCGGCCAGGACAACGCTCCTTCTCTGCCTGACTCCGCTTCCCAAGGAAGTAGGAACAGATCTTCAACACCACACAACACAAAGGCAACACAAACAGGATACACACACTTCCACTTTCAGCCCCTAGATTAACCGTCTTCACGCAATCACATAAGCTGACATTTAAGAAAAAAGGATATTAAATTTGAAAATATTGAAGATAGGAACATAAACAAAAATAGGGGAAAAAAAGACAACGAAGTCGTAAATTCCTTCTTTGGAAACATCTGGAAACATCTGCAATTTGCGGCAGCAGAACGCCCTGAGCCAGAGCGGGCAAGAAGGCCACGCACAAGCCGCCAGAAGACACATCCACACGGAACACTGCGTTCTTCACAAATTAAAAGGATTATGTGATGCTAAGGGAAATGAGCGAATCCCAAAAGGTTAGATACCACATGTTTGCCTTGATTTAACCTGTAATTTTTGTTTGTTTGTTTGATTGTTAGTTTTTGAACCTGTCATTGATACTGTCTCAACCCATGTGTTTTGAAGAATTGAACTTGCATTATTTTTAACATATTGTCTACTCAATACTATGTCAATTAATTCCATAACATTGTATATTGATGCTGATGTTTTGTTGGGGCTTTTAACTGACCGGAACTTTACTCTGTTAGCTCTACCTTCAGACCAGAGAAGGTCTCCCCAAGAGGCCACTGAACTTATCTGGACAATACAATGCTGGACTTTATGCTAGGTATATGCTTGCAATGAAGGAATCTCAACTGAACTTGAACTGTGGTTATACAGCAAGGTGGAGGAATCCACCATGGGAGGAGGGTAGTGGAGGGGTGGGGGGAATCCCAGTGCCTATAAAACTGTATCACATAATACAATGCTAACAACAATTAAAAAAAAGTAATTAAAAAAATTTTTTTATTTTAAAAATTAAAAAAATAAAAGGATTATGAAGAAATACTAAAACTAGGATATAATGCCAACGAACTAGGATCAGCAAAATGGCCAAACTCCTAGAAATACACAAATTTGCAAACCTGAGTCAAAAATTTCTAAAATTCTCCTTCTTTATTTAAAGGTCAGAAAGACACAGAGAGAAGCAGTGGCTGGGGCTAGGGAGGGGCCAGGACCTAGACTCATCGGGGTCTCCCGCACGAACGCAGCAAGGCAGCCACTCCAGCTGGGGCCCCTCTTGCCTCCCAGGGCACACAAGACCCTGAGCAGGAATCGAGGGAAGACTGACCCTGAATCCAGGCACATCGCAGAAAGACCTGGGCGTCCCAAGCAGCATATGAACTGCACAGCAAATGCCCACAAATAAAAGAGAAAACCTGAATAACATTTTTAAAATTTCCACAAAGTGAAAAACGACATTGCTACGTAGGTAACTGCTATCAAATATTTTAAAAAGTGACAAATTTACACAAACTCAGAAAATAAAGAAGGAATATTTTCCAATTCATTATATGATCCTGATATAACAGATGCCAAAAAAAAAAGAAAAAGAAAAAGTAAAGAGGGATCCGGCAGTGTGGCCTAGCAGCTAAAGTCCTTGCTTTGAACACCCCGGGATCCCATATGGGCACTGGTTCTAATCCCGGCAGTTCCACTTCCCATCCAGCTCCCTGCTTGTGGCCTGGGAAAGCAGTCAAGGACAGCCCAAAGCCTTGAGACTCTGCACCCGCGTGGGAGACCCCAGAGGAAGTTCCTGGATCCTGGCTTTGGATCAGCATAGCATCAGTCGTTGCGCTCACTTGGGGAGTGAATCATCGGACGGAAGATCTTCCTCCCTGTCTCTCCTCCTCTCTGTATATCTGACTTTCCAATACATAAATGTTGAAAGAAAGAAAAGAGAAAGAGAAATGAAAGAATGGAGGGTAGAGCCCAGCATGGTAGCCTAGTGGCTAAAGTCCTCACCTTAAACACACATAGGTGCCGGTTCTAGTCTGGGTGGGCAAACTTCCCACCCAGCTCCCTGCCTGTGGCCTGGGAAAGCAGCCGAAGACGGCCAGAGCCTTGGGACCCTGCACCCGCGTGGGAGGCCCGGGAGAAGCTCCTGGCTTCAGTTTGCCTCAGCTCAAGCCATTGCGGCCACTTAGGGAGTGAATCACTGGACAGAAGATCTTCCTCTCTGTCTTTGCTCCTCTCTGTATATTTGACTTTGCAATAAAAATAAGTAATTCTTAGGAAAAAAAAAAAAAAGAGGGAAGGAGGAAGGGACCAGAACCCTCACAGGACAGGCATGCAACGCGGCGGTGAAGGTGTCACGTGGCGCCCCAGCCTCCTCTGAGCGCCCCGGGGTCCTGCCTCCACCTGCACCCCAGCCTCCTCTGAGCACCCCGGGGTCCTGCCTCCACCTGCACCCCAGCCTCCTCTGAGTGCCCCGGGGTCCTGCCTCCACCTGCACCCCAGCCTCCTCTGAGCGCCCCGGGGTCCTGCCTCCACCTGCACCCCAGCCTCCTCTGAGCATCCCGGGGTCCTGCCTCCACCTGCACCCCAGCCTCCTCTGAGCGCCCAGGGTCCTGCCTCCACCTGCACCCCAGCCTCCTCTGAGCACCCCGGGGTCCTGCCTCCACCTGCACCCACCTCCTAGCGCCAGGTCCTCCTCCACCTGCCCCAGCCCCTGCACCGGGGTCCTGCCTCCACCTGCACCCCAGCCTCCTCTGAGCATCCCGGGGTCCTGCCTCCACCTGCACCCCAGCCTCCTCTGAGCACCCCGGGGTCCTGTCTCCGCCTGCACCCCAGTCTCCTCTGAGCACCCCGGGGTCCTGCCTCCGCCTGCACCCCAGTCTCCTCTGAGTGCCCGGGGTCCTGTCCCCGCCTGCACCCCAGTCTCCTCTGAGTGCCCCGGGGTCCTGCCTCCTCCTGCACCCCAGCCTCCTCTGAGCACCCCGGGGTCCTGTCTCCACCTGCACCCCAGCCTCCTCTGAGCGCCCAGGGTCCTGCCTCCGCCTGCACCCCAGCCTCCTCTGAGCACCCCGGGGTCCTGTCTCCACCTGCACCCCAGCCTCCTCTGAGCACCCCGGGGTCCTGTCTCCACCTGCACCCCAGCCTCCTCTGAGTGCCCGGGGTCCTGCCTCCTCCTGCACCCCAGCCTCCTGCTGCTCTCCACCTGTGCACAGCAGATGGCGGCCCAAGCCTGTGGGTGTCTGACACCCACACAGGGAACTAGACTGAGCCCACGTTCTGGAAAACACACCTAGGGGGTGAAACACCTGATACTAAGATGACTTCCCTTGCGCTTTTCTCTCTTGATTCTCAAATAACAGAGAAGGAAAAAGAAAACTTCTACTTTTCAAACAACACGGAAACGGGAAGACTACTCACAAATTTTCACAACATGTCTGCAAATCCTGTAGTCTGTATCTAGAGCATGTTTTAAAAGAAACAAAGAATGTGGCCGTGGTGGTTGCCAGCATCCCATCCCTTGATTGCTCCACGTCCATGCAGCTCCCTGCTGGCACCTGACCTGGGGTGGGAGCTGGAGACCACCCAGGCCCCCATGTGGATGACACAGGCGCAGACCCCGACTCAGACCTGGCTGTTTCAGGTTTCTGGGGAGCGAAACCAGCGACCAGAACACCAAGCTCTTGCTTGTTCTCACCCTCTGTTGGCCTGCGTCTCAGATAAATGCGTATTTTAAAAAGAAAAGAACAACTTTTCAACTCAAACCAGCCAAAATATTTACACATTGCACTCCAGACATTCAACAGCCAAGGACCACATGAAAAGTTGTTCCATATCACAGAACTACCAAATGGCCAAAACCAAGCAGACAGTGCATCCAACACCGGAGGCCCAAGAGAAACGGAGCCTTCTAACACGTCCCGGAAGAAGGCAGCACTGCAGTCATTCTGGAAAACAGCACGGTAGTTTCTAAATCCCAAATGAAAGCTTGCAGACCATCCCCTTAAGTATCTACCAAGAGAAATAAAAACAAATGTCCACATGAAGACTTACTAACCCCAAACTCAAAGGGGGCATTTGGCACTGGGTAAAATCCCTCTGGGGACGCCCGCATCCCACAGTGAATGCCAGAGCTTTTGCTAACAGTTCTACTTCCAACCCTGGCTTCCTGGGAACGGGCCGTGGCTGGGGACACAGACACTCTCCTGCAGAGCTGGCCTGGGATCCTGACACAGGCGCTTGACTGTGGCCTGGTCAGCCCCGGGCTTCTGTGGGCACCTGGGAAGGGAATCCGTGCACACAAGATCTGTCTCTCTTGGGCCCGGCGCGGTGGCCTAGCATCTAAAGTCCTTGCCTTGAAAGTGCCCGGGATCCTATATGGGCACTGATTCTAGTCCCGGCAGTTCCTCTTCCCATCTAACTCCCTGCTAGTGGCCTGGGAAAGCAATCAGGGACAGCCCAAAGCCACGGGACCCTGTACCTATGTGGGAGACCCCAGAGGAAGTTCCTGGCTCCTGGCTTCAGATCAGCACAGCACTGGCCATTGCACACACTTGGGGAGTGAATCAATGGATGGAAGATCTTTCTCTCTGTCTATCCTCCTCTCTGTATATCTGACTTTGTAATAAAAATAAATAAATCTTTAAAAAGAAAAAAAAAGATCTGTCTCTGACTTTCAAATAAAATAAAAATAATTTTTAAATCAAAGAGAAAAATAACAGACCCAGACTAAAGCAATTCAAATGTCCACCAAGCTGTGAGTGGACATGAATAGAACGTAGCAACATTCCCAATGAAAGTAAACCACTGATCTTCTCTATGTTACACTGAGCAAAAGCCAAAACGAACCACGGCACCAGGACTGGATTCCACAGCAGCTCCGTGAGTGACGGCCTCGAGCAGAGGCTAACCACAAACTGGCTCAGGGGAAAGCTGCGAGCTGGACTGCACTGCAGGGTGCAGAGCCAGGGCCCACTGCCGGGTGCTCCCGGGCGGCCGAGATCGTCCTGCTCAGAACGGGCAGGAAGTGAGCAGCTCGTTCCCCAAGGCCTGGGTTCCCCTCCTCGTCTAGGCAGGCTGAGAAGGAAGTGCTCACACACAGCAGCCGGCCACATGCAGACAAGAAAGCAGAGAAGGCGCCGGGCATCGGTGCAGGGGCTGAGCCCAGGGAGGGACAAAGCAGTACAAGTTACGGCAGGATGGTGTCCAGGGCCAGCCTGGGCACGGTGCTTCTATTATTAAAGATGAACCCCTGGGTACTTTCCCAAGCTGAGCCGACTGCGTTCCTCGGATCACCTCACCTCCAGCATGCCGATTTTCCTCCAAACAAGAAGGTTTGGTGTTTGCTATCTAACAATCGTGTCGCAGTGTCTTAACGAGCACAGAGGGGACCTGCTTCCCGTGACTCCTGTGCCTCCTGTCACTGTTCTGGAACGAGTCCTTACTGTCCTCTCTCACACCGTGCTTTGCCCACACCATGCCATCTGCCTCCCCTCAGGCCTGTTAAAAAATTAAAGAGAAAAAAAGCAACACTGGCATTTCAGACGCCGCGGCTCTTGGAAACACACAGGAAGGAGCTTACTTGTCCGGCATAATGAAGTGCAGCAAGGACCAGAGCTCCTTGAGGGAATTCTGAAGAGGGGTGCCTGTGATCAGGAGCCTATGGTTGGACTTGAAATCAATCAGAGTTTTATACAATAAAGAGTCATCATTCTTCAACCGATGGGCTTCATCCACGCCCAGGAAGGCCCAGTTAATACTGCCCAGCACAGTCTAAAGTGAAAACAAAACACAACGAACCACCAGGTCAGAAGAGAACCCAAAAGTGATTCCAAGTATTCATCATCGCTGTACGAAATACCAGCACAGGAACACAGACAGCTCTTCCCGGACGTGAGCCTCAGCAGGCCTCTTCGTTACGATAAAAGGAACACGTCCTTACTTGGCAGGTGCGGGAGGCAGGACGCATACCTTACCGCAAGCAGCCATACACTGCTGTGCTAGGCAAAGCAGGACCAAACTCAGGACACTGTGTTCTCTGGGAGACACGTGTGTTTGCTGTCCCATGCAGAACAGAAACGCCAAGAGCTGCCCAGCTGGACCTGACCGTGTCATCCCAGTGGAACCCACCCAGGTGGTCCTGCAGGTCCTCTCTCCAGAGCCTGCTCACAGCCACAGCACAGGGAAGGCTGCAATGTCCGAGCCCAGCTTCCAAGGGCTGGCGACAGTCCTGGGCGAACTGCTGGCCTCGCAAACCCTTCCTCGTCTAGTTCTACTGGACAAGGCAACCGGTGTGGGCCTTCAATAGAAGACTGTTTTCCATTTAAAATCTTAATACGCTTTGAGCACTTTTTTTTTCTCTTATCCATTTGCTTGCTTTTCTAAACAAAACAAGAAAAATAGCACGGCAAGCAGGAGGCCCAGAGCCGCCATCAGGACAAGTCACACTAGGAAACGCAACCTTCTGTCCCGGCACATACCTTGTCTTTCAGGAGAATCTCGTATGTTGTTATGAGAGCATTGAATTTCAGCCTTTTAGACTGGGAATGAATCCACTCATATTCCCGAATCTGTGAGAGAAAACGGGAAGTAAGACACAACTTCTACATTTACCAACCTATGTCACACAAGTCTTCTGAAAAATGCAATAAAAACATGCCAAAAACTCTCATTAGCATTTAATCACTACTTCACATATTCTAAGTTACCTTAGTAATCACAATATATAGTAAGAGTTAGAACTAAAATTATCAATTACTAAGCCACAAAAACTTTAATGTTGGAATTCAAAGAAACTACACAACTCTAAATCTACTCTAACAACAGTTGATCAAGCAAACGTGATTAAAGCCTCGTGACGAGCTAAGCCAGGATCTATCTATCACAGTTCTAGAATTTTCTTCAGGAAATACAATTTGACCTCAAGTTGGATATGGCAAGGTTTTACTGCAATTAAAACAAGTTCAATGTGTGACTCAGATATGCCATCGATCAGAGCAGGACAGAAGGGAGACAGTCACGGCAAGGAGGCCAGCAGCCCAAACAATCGCCGTGAGGTGTCAGTGCGGCGACCCCGAGCAAGCACATGGCTCTGAGGAAGCCCCGCGCACTGCATTTCCGAATGAGGAACTGTGATAAGATGCTGAGAGCTGGCAGAGCCTACAGGTGTTTAGCAGGTAGAACTTCCTGAGGCCTCACGCCCTCTCCGCTCCCTTTGTCTGCCTTCACATCTAGAAGCTCTGCATATAGCCAGGTTGTACAATCTGCCTTTCCTTTCAGTCTTTCAGAATGGCGAACAGATGAACTGCCAAGCTAAGAACTGGGACCCAAGCATGGCATAGTCGGTTGAGCGTCCACTTGCAGAGCCAGCTGCTCACTAATGTGCCTGGGAAGGCAGTGGAGGATGGCCTGGGTCCTGTCACAGACCACCTTGGGTTCAGTGACTTAAGCCTCCACCTGCAGGGCCAGCTCCCTGCTAATGTGCTTGGGCAGGGCTGCCTCGGGTTCTGTCTCCCTACAGGAGACCCATAAGAAGCTCCAGGCTCCTAGCGACCAACACAGCTCCGGCCACTGTGGTCATTAATGCGGAGTGAACCAGCGGATAGAAGCTCTTTCTCTCCTCTTCTCTCTGTAAAATCTGTCTCTCAAACACAAACAAATAAATCTTATTCTTAAAAAGAAAAGCTAAGAATTATAACTAGAAATTCACACTTAAGGCAGGCTGCAAGTTATCTAATTTTAGTGAAAAGAGCAGATAAAAAATAAATCTGAATTATCATGAAATACTACAACATAACTCCCAAATGTTTAAGGAGTCTTGATGACTTGATCTTCTTAGAAGCAATCTTCCAGAAACAGTTTCCATACAGTGATCAAAGCCATGTCCCGGTGCCCACGCTGGCAGGCCTGGGCACACGTGCCGGAGAGAAGGCCTCAGGAGAGAAGGCCAACAGTGACCAGGAGCTTTATACACAGTCAGATGCGACCAAGAGGTGCTGTGTCACTGCGTTCTAAATCCAGAACACAGAGTTTGGCCTAAAATGGTTTATTTTCCTTTATTTTTATTAGATTTCCCTCTCCAAAGTTAAAGCACTTTATAGTCTTTAAAAGGCTGGGAAACAAATTCTAAGAACTTGCTTATTATTCATGAGATCTCTCTATTCAAAGAGCAACAATGACATTAAAATTCTATACAACATTCAGTCCGTCTTAGAATCCTATAAAAAGTGGTCTTAGAAGTATGACGGCTAGGGAGGAGAATCGTGGAACACAGCGCCTGCACCGAAGCAAGACTAGCACTCCGTGTTAAACAGTGAGCACACCCATGTCTGTCACATACACATCTCTAACTACTGGGGACACAGCACAGTGTCAAAGTAGTTATTTCATTCAAGTGTTTACTAACAATTCTACTTAAGGTCAAGTTCCAAAACACATTGAGAACAGGGTCTACCCCAGCTTGGTTTGTTTACACACCGTATTTCTGCTCATCAGGTCCCCTATGTAAACCACTACGTTAAGCTCTGGAGCCCAGATTTCAAACTCTCTCTGCCATGAGGTGAGGGTGGATAAAGGGACGACTATAAGAAAGGGGCCATACAGCTGGTGTTGGTGGAACAGGTAGGAGAGGAATGATATAGTCTGGATGGTCTTTCCCAGGCCCATTTCATCAGCAAGGATGACACTGTTACTTCTGCGGAAAGAGAAAGACAACCGTTAGCCCCCAACAAGCAGTACATCCACCAGCAACAACACGCCTGCGGGCAGCAGACACACACCTGGAGCCGTGAGCCTGCTAAGCTTTCCTCTCTCCTGCAGTTTACCCAGCCTCCTGCCTAGAAGTCCCAGCACAAGGAGACTAACAAGAGATCTAAGTGTCATCAAGACGCAGGTGACAGTCAGGCTGTTCCTGCAACAGAGATGTGTATAGAACGTGTAACCTTCTCTAACACTGCCACAGGAAACTCAACAAAGAAAACCCAGGCACAAACCACTTCTTTCTTCTCGCTGATATGTTTTCTTTTTAGAGAACAACTCCTTCCATATTAAAGATGTGGGCCAAGTGTCCTGCTATTTACTATTATGCTCCTGAGTAATACAGTGTGGTCCGGGCCTCAGCACCAGGAGCAGTTATCCGCACGGCAGACATGGTAAACACCTACAGAAAGCTCCCAGGCTCACTTTCCTCAATCACAAAGTTCTGTATTTGGTAATGCATGTTGGAGAACCACTGAGCATCTGGCCACAGAGCAGCTAGGGGCAGCGAGGCCTCCTCGGGCCTCTCCTCGACCTACTTGCACCAGGAATGCGCCAGCCAGTTGAGCCCTTCCAGCTGGTAGTCTCGCAGTTCCAGATTTTCCCCTCCCAGATACGCAGGCTGCTTTTTCAGTGCCACAAATCGAGGTCTCTGCTTCAATGCCTACAGGGAAAAAACAAGGGGTGGGGAAACAGCTCTGATAAAAATCATTCCATGGGCCCGGCAGCCTGGCCTCACAGCTAAAGTCCTTGCCTTGAATGCCCTGGGATCCCGTATGGGCGCCGGTTCTAATCCCGGCAGCTCCACTTCCCATCCAGCTCCCTGCTTGTGGCCTGGGAAAGCAGTTGAGGACGGCCCAAAGCCTTTGGACCCTACACCCATGTGGGATACCAGGAAGAAGTTCCTGGATCCTGGCTTTGGATCGGCATTGCACTGGCCGTTGCGCTCATTTGGGGAGTGAATCATCGGACGGAAGATCTTCCTCTCTGTCTCTCCTCCTCTGTGTATATCTGACTTTCCAATAAATAAATGAAAATCTTTTTAAGAAAATCTTACTCCTGTTCCTGTGTTAAAAGGATGACCACAATTCCTGCACCAAGACATAAAAATGTAAATTTCTTTAAAAGATATTTATTTACTAATATAAGAGTTATAGAGATCTTTCATACACTGCTTCATTGCTCAAGTGCCCCAAAACCAAGGCTAGTAAAACAGCCTGTGCACCCAGACCACCCTCCACTGCTCACTGAGGTGTGAGCACCCAGACCACCCTCCACTGCTCACTGAGGTGTGAGCACCCAGACCACCCTCCACTGCTCACTGAGGGGTGAGCACCCAGACCACCCTCCACTGACACCGAGGGGTGAGCACCCAGACCACCCTCCACTGCTCACTGAGGTGTGAGCACCCAGACCACCCTCCACTGACACCGAGGGGTGAGCACCCAGACCACCCTCCACTGCTCACCGAGGTGTGAGCACCCAGACCACCCTCCACTGCTCACCGAGGAGCACGAGCAGTCAGGACACCAAGTGGAGCAGTGGCACAGGATGCTGCCACTATAGGCTTACCTCACTATGCCACAACTTACTCCCCAAAAACATAACTTCACTTGTTGATCAACAGCCCCCACTGCCCCGTGCCTCTGGTACTATATTCACAGAGTTCATCCTGAAGGAACAGCTTTGTACTTCACTTGTTCTTTCCCTGAAATAGGTCTGTGGACATGACTCAGCAGCACTCACGCCTAAGTCACGCCTGCCGTACAGCACTGAGATTCCCTCACAAGGATGTCTGGATACCGCTGTGAGGCAGCAAGTGCAGCTAGCAGAGCTCACAGCCAGCGTGGTGCCAACACCCCTGGGACCCGCACCTTGTGGCCTGAGGAGCACAGGGGTGACCGGGACATGCACAGGCTCCAAGAACTCCACCTAACTGAAGACTGAGTTAAAAGGTAAGTTTATTCTGGTGCCAAAAAACATAAAAGTCCATGCACAAGAAGGATATTGAGAAAGTTCAAGAACAATGAGTATTAGAAACAGTTTTTGATGGACTTCAGTCATGAGTTCCACTTTTTCACACACTCTGCCAAGCACCCTTGTTCTACAAGCAGAATTAACTTTGTGCTGTTGTATTCTGCAGCGGCTCCCGCAATGCTTCAGAGAAGGAGAACAGCAGAGCCTTAGCACAGCGGCCACAGCAGGAGGCTGGCTCCCTAAGGAAAGGCCGTGGTTCAGATTCCACAGCTCTGGGAAGTAGGATACAGCTCCACAGTTTACCCAAAATGTCAGTTCTGCTGCCAAACTGGTTTGGGAAGCAACAGATAAAGCCCTGCACATTCCTTTACTGTTCATTTTTCCAAGCCCAACACTGTCTACATCCAAGCCCATTCGTGTCTACAACATGAATGTACAGCAAAAATTCATTCTCAATGTTATCTGGCCACGAAAGGCTCTCTAGGGTCATGTCTCAGATGAGAGCTCCGGGGAGCCTGTAAGAACTACCACTTCAAAAGCGCACTGCACGGTTGTCCAGGGCTCTCCAGTGAGGCAGCTGGCAAGGGACAAAACTTGAATTCTCCAAAGTACAGCCATGCAGCCACTCCTGCCAAGTCTTTCCTCACAGGACCTGGCATTCCCAGAGGCTCCTCTGCACTGCCATCAGATGAAGCGTTCAAACAAAGCTCACCTTCACCCTCACGCCCGACTTGACAAGGTAGCAATATTCAGAGAACAGACGCAACACACACTTGGACCAAAGGCAGGCAGCAACGGCACCTCCCTCCGGCTTTGGTATGCTCTGTGAAGGGCAATGCCCAGGCCGCTGTGTGCAGTGAGCACCCATTTCTCAGGAGCCAGAGGCAGCTGGTGCTGCTTCTCTGACCACACCCTCTCTGTGCATTCTGAACCAAGAAAAGGCTGGCGCCATCAACATAACGTCAACTCCTCACACACAAACTTTGATTACACTGAGGACGCACACCCACCACATTCCAAATACAACAAATTTAGCAAACACAAAACTTCACATGCTTATTTCTTAACCGGAAATTCAAAGAAACCAGCTTTTTTTTTAAAGATTTGTTTATTTTTATTGGAAAGGCAGATCAGATTTACATATAAGAGAGACAGAAAGATCTTCACTCCCCAAATGATTACAATAGCCAGACTCAAAGCCAGGAGTTTCCTGCAGGTGTCCCACACAGGTGCAGGTTCCCAAGGCCCCAAGACTTTGGACTATCCTTTTGCACCTTCCCAGGCTACAAGCAGGAAGCTGGATGGGAAGTAGAGCAGATGGGACACAAGCCAGTACCCATATGGGATCCCAGGCTTGCAAAGTAAGGATTTAGCCATTGAGCCATCGCACCTGGCCCAGAAAACAACCTTTCTTAATCACTTCTCTTCGTGTCTCTAACTGGACTAACTGTAAGACGAACAAGCAGTAAGGCCACACTAAGCTCTCCCAAGTACATCACAGGCCACAGCTGCCCACGCTCCCCGGGAAACCGAGTGCAGCGCACAGCTCACCTTGCACTCCCTCGTTGGGATGGTTTTCGAGTTGTTCCGACTGTGGAAGCTATCAATGCAGCCCTGGAACTTGTTGCTGATCAGGGCTTCGTCCTCCCAGCTACACTCCGAATACGGCAGGCCCATCCACTTGCACAGGTACTCGGGCTCATTGGAAGGTGCTGGCTTGCGACTGTGAGCTATTTTATACAGAAAAATTGACACACTAGCAGTTGTCCACTAGCGGTGCAAAGGAACATTCTCTTTCATAATGAATCAGCACAACATCGTGTGGCAGAACAATAAACTCCAAACCTGGACTGCATGGCAGAGAGCTTCTCTCACTTACCTGGGAAATCAGTCTGACCCAATGCAGATTTACTTGTCTTCACAGCTAAACAAACGCAAAGTTAAAACAGTAAATTAGAACCATAATCACGGAAGAGATGTGGGGGTCTAGGTATAAAAATACAAATGTATTCAATAACATCACATCTTAAAACCTCGTCTTCCACCAAGCCTCATCTCAGACGATCACCCCATTCTGTCCCCTTTCAGAGCAGGACTCCCCGAAGACACTGCTTGGACTCAGTCACTTTCCAATTCTCCACTTGCCCCGCAGGCCTCAGAACCCTGTCCACAGGCACGTTCTCCCAGGCCGCCCTACTGCAAGGTCGAGGCCCGGGACCTCCCCGCCCGCACTGGCAGTGGTGTCCCCTCCCAGCCTCTTCTCCATCCCCTCAATGGCTGCTCATCTATCTTCCCTACCGGCGTCTTTCAACTTCCAGGACCACAGCGCCCTCACACTTCCTCTTCTCACCATGGACATGCTGTTTCTGATGATCCCATTACGTCTCAGGCCTAACACGTTATCTAAAGACAAATCTGCCAGCCAAAAGAATTCTAAACTTGTGGCTTAGGAGTGCTCTAGTTTCAGAATATTCAATTCAACAGGAAGTGTACTGAATTTCCAACTGCCAGATCAAGTGCTTTTTTAAAAATAAAATTATTTCTACCAGAAAGGCAGATTTACAGATAGAAAACATCAGAGGGAAAGATCTTCTTTCTGCCGGTTAACCCTTCAAACGACTGTGATGGCTGGTGCAGGGTCCCAAGGCTTTGGGCCATGCTCTACCGCTTCCCCAAGTCACAAGCATGGAGCTGGACAGGAAGTGGAGCAGCGGGAACACAACTCGGCACCATATGGGATGCTGCACATGGTGGTAGAGGTTACCCTGTTGAACCAGGGTGCCAAGGCCCAGACCAAATTTTTGATACCTATGGCAAAATTTTGATACCTATGGCAACCTCTCCCTCAACCTTACCACTAATTAGAAGATACCTCTCTTCTCTGATGTGAAGGTTCAAGCCATATGCCCTCACATCTTCCTGACACCTCTTCTTTTCATTCCTCACATGCAACTTTAGCAGCAAATCTTTAGGTTTCCTTCAAAATCAATCCAGCTATCTGTCTAACCTCAACACATGGACAGGCATTACAACGTGGTCAGGACAAGCCACCCATGGCCACCTACATCCACATCCGCACATCTTGAACCAATGGAATGGAACCGACTCCTGCCTCCACTCCCATCCAGCTCACTCCTCATGTGTAGACGATGGCCCACGTCCATGCGGTCCTGCCACCTACGTGGGAAACCCAGATGGGGTCCTTGGCCCCAACCTTCAGCCTGGTGCAGTACCAAGTGCTCTGTGCATTCAGAGAACGTACCAGCAGATAAAAGTACTCTGTCTGTGAGAGGGTCATTCTTCAAGTTAATTAATTAAAACTACATCAACAGGGCCAGCACTGCAGCACAGCCACCGCCTGCGACTCCCACATCCCCCAAGGGTGCTCACGCACTGGTTCGCGTTCCAGCTGCTAACAGCCTAGGAACAGCAGCAGGGCCCGTGGGGCCACATGGGAGATGCAGAAGGCACTTGTAGCTCCTGGTATTGGCATGGCTGAGCCTGGTCACTACAGCCACTTAGGACATGAGCCAAAGGATGCAATTCCTCCTCTCTCTAACTCAAATGTATATGTATTTCAAACAATTATATAAATAGTGGGGCTTCTCCCTTAAAATCTCCTTTTACATCAGACATATTAAGGAAACAACACGGAACTAATTGTCTTACCCATCTTCCTACCCTAATTATGACAAGATTGTCAAAAATAATAAATTTTTTTAAAAAATTTTTAAAGAATTATATAAATATTCTTAAAAATGTAAAAATAAAGAAAAACAAACCTATAAATTACACTAGTACATTCCTCCCCAAAGCGACAGTGCCCAGTCCTTGAGCTCACCACCAGATCCTGTGTACTCACCAATCACTCTTTCTACTACTTGATACTGCCTGTTCAGCTCGGAGGCCAGTTCCTGCTGGCAATTGAAATACTCCACATCTTCAGGAGAAACTTTCCCTAACCTAGATGGATGCCAGAAAGAAAAAAAAATGCAGTATTAGAATCCACAGACTCACATGCAAAATATCAAAGCAAAACTGCAAGGCGGGAAAGGAAGCTGCTTTCAGTAATCTTAACTAGTTACCGAGCCAGAGACTACGGAAACTCAGAAACCTTAGACTCGCAAAGTGCACTACTCATTCCCCTTGCCGATACATCCTGCCAATTATTAAGAAAAAATTTTTAAGTAACTATTTTGGGTCCAACATGGTAGCCTGGTGGTTCGTTTATGAGTTCTCCTTGCATGCGGTGGGATCCCATATGGGCACTGGTTCATGTCCTGGCTACTCTATTTCCCATCCAGCTCCCTGCCTGTGGGAGGGAAAGCAGCAGAGGACGGCCCAAAGCCTTGGGACCCTGCACCCACATGGGAGACCCAGAACAAGATCCTGCCTCCTGGCTTTGCACAGGATCAGCTCCAGCCATTGTAGCCAGTTGGGGAGTAAACCAGTGGATGGAAGATCTTTCTCCCTGTCTCTCCTCTCCGTAAATCTTCAGCACAATAAAACTAACCTTAAAAAATAATAACAATGGATTAAACATAACTTTCATGTGACAAATTCATGTGCCCTCCTGTTATAAATGTGCTTGTCTAAGCAGTTGAGGACAGTCACACTGCGCTCTAGGTCTGCAGCTTTTCTCAGGAATGTGGAATCTGCAGAGCCGAGAAAATGCAGCTTATTTGGAAAGCTCATTTTTACTCTTAGTACCAAAAATTCTGAAAAGGACAATAGCAGCAGCACAAAATTAGACAACGCTGCATCTCATACTGTGTCACTTATAACAACGTGTTACACGCTACTTCCGTCACTGGGGCTGCTGGCGTGGGCTACAGGGCCCCAGCTCCTCCTGGGCAGCCGAGCACCTGCTGGCTCTGAGGGGACTGCACAGCAGACCCCTTCTTCACGTCATTTCTGCAGACTATCAAACCAAGATCAGCCTTAACTGTACCATTACTTACAGGTTTCTACAAGTTTACGCCTTCATTTCTAAGCCATCTCATCCAACCATGGGAAAATATGCAGTAGGATAAGAAGAAGAATGGGCACTACATTCAGGGTGCCAGAATCTAATTCTGGGTCCACAGGCTGAGCTGCCCTATGTCTCCCTAGTTCCACATTCTACATTTCTACTGTGAAAATTAAAGAGATACAAGGTAATGTGAGAATAACGCTAAATCCACTAAATTAGTCACTCAGCAAACCTGGTAACTATATTTTAAACTATACAGCATCTTAAGGTCGCAATATTATAAACAGAATGACACACACTCTCATAATTAAGGGGAAACGGGAAATCCTATAGAGTTATGACTACGACACATTTTATCAAAAACCTCCCCCATGGAGATGGCACCACAGGGAACCCTTCACTTGCAGTGCTGGCTTCTAATAAGGGCGCCAGTTCATGGCCTGGCTGCTCCACTTTCCATTCAGCTCCCTGCTTCCAGCCTCGACAAACAGCAGAGCAACCCATGTGTGATACCAAAAGAGGGATGGGCTCAGCTCTGGCCGCTTGGGGAGGGAGCAGGACATGGGAGATTTCTCTGTCTCTCCTTCTCTCCCTTCCCTACTTCCCTCAGACTGCCAGAATCTCTCTTACCACTGTTTGATTTCCTCCTCCTTCTTCTTGAAGTTCTCCAGCTTCTTCAGGCCCTTCACCTTCTGCTGCTGCAGGGACTCTTCGCTCTCCCACGTGCTGTGGATGTAAGACCAACCCTTCCACTTGATGAGGTACTGGGCTTCGCCCTCGTCCTTGGCGCTGTCAAAGCCGCCCGCAGGGTCTCCATTGGCTTCCACGGCGTACACAGTGGTGGACGCTCCCGTGGCTGCAAACAGTCGGTGGCGCTCTGAAGACAGCCGGCACAACAGACCCCGCAAAGTCTCCCCCAGAGCCAACCAGCTGCTGTCTCCAAAGTCAGCTGACTTCATGTATGGAGCAAAGCACAGATGAAACACACAGCAACTTCAAACAGATTCAAAATGTAAACACATTTTCCCATTTTAAAGCATATTCCAAAACATGCAGATGAAATCAAAGAAAGGTGCACACATACAATGTTCAAATGAAACATCGCATTGCTTTGGTCCCTAACTGCGATGACAGAATCCTCTCTCCAGGAGTAATGGAAAACCAACACCCTGCCCACACCTAATTCCCCATCCATCCACCCAAATTAGCTCTCTAAACCGCAACTCAAGCCACAAGGAAAAAAGACAAAGGAACAAGTTACTTTAAACCAACTGAATTACATCAACTAAGCTGGATATTAAAAAACCTTCACCATTATCCAAATACGCTTTTAGCCAGTTTGACATTTTCACAAGGAGATTTAGAAACAAAACCTTCGCTATTAAAAAAAAAAAACACCTTCGCTATTACATCACATCTTAATAAAACACATTTTATCTTTTCCAGCTTAATTTTAAAATCACAAAGACATACAGAATACATTCCTTGGTCCCCAGCTCTCAAAAAGAAGGTGAGCCAAAGATGCCAACATTTCACAAACACAGCGCACACCACATCACAGTGAAAGCGCGTGCAGGTGCGGAGCCACAAGGAACCCGCGTCGCCCAGACACACACCTCCTTTCCGGCCCAGCCTCGAGTCCAAGACCTTCTCGATCGTTTCGCTGTTGTCTTGCTGCTCATCAACTCCTTCTCCAGTCATTTCAATGAGATCGTCTGAGTCGGTCTCAAAGTCGTCATCTTCTTTGTAGCTGCAGGAGGAGTAACGCCAGATCAACACCGGGACGTGTACGTTCACGGGAGCAGGGAGCCAAGCCTTGGTTCCCACATGCAGTGTGCACACCAGCCACGTGGGGCCTCACACCTTTTGTCTCCCCTGCTTAGTCCTGACACACGGTCAGGGGTCAGTGCAGCAAAGCTAACTCATGCTTCAAAACACGACGTAGAAAATAATACCGTATTTTCTTTTAGTAGCAGATCATTGCCACGTAAAACAACCAAACTACCACAAAGAAAATGAAAGAAAAAAATGATTATATCAGGCCAGAGACACAAGATTCCTAAGATGAAATGTGTAACCCCTGTGAGCATTTTGTCTCCTTTAACAAAGAGCTTAAGAAAGCCTTTACTATGGAGAATTCCTGATACTAAAATACTAAAAACGTAACCTGCCATAATTAACAAAAGTTTTAGAATCATGAAAAAAAAGCCACGCAATCCTAGATGCGGTAGCTCCAGTGAAGGCTGTGCGTCACTATGGAGCGACCCACTCCAAGTCGCATCCTAGTCTACAAATTATTCATGCGACACACCGTGAAGTCATTACATCACTCCCAGGACTCAGTCAAAAGAAACCTACATATCCACACAGAAAATTCAATGTCCACAGACTTCTATAAACTAAATATCAATGTGTGCGGATTATCTACTGCTTTATTTTACGTTGCACTAACACATCATGCTCTATTAAACAGCTTGATAAAATTATACCCATATTATCAGCTGGGTAAAATGAACCTGAAAAAACTGACGTGACTCGAAAGAATCAGGAAGGGAGAGACAGAACATGTTTGCTCTAAGCGCGATCCCCGGGAGAAGCAGACAGAATGGGAGCAGGGCACGCGGTCGCTGGGAGAAGCGGACAGAACGGGAGCAGGGCGCGTGGTCGCCGGGAGAAGCGGACAGAATGGGAGCAGGGCGCGCGGGTCACCGGGAGAAGCGGACAGAATGGGAGCAGGGCGTGCAGTCGCTGGGAGAAGCGGACAGAACGGGAGCAGGGCGTGCAGTCGCTGGGAGAAGCGGACAGAATGGGAGCAGGGCGTGCGATCGCCGGGAGAAGCAGACAGAACGGGAGCAGGGCGCGCGGTCGCCGGGAGAAGCGGACAGAACGGGAGCAGGGCGCGCGGTCGCCGGGAGAAGCGGACAGAACGGGAGCAGGGCGTGCGTGTCGGGGGAGGGGCTGCCTGCCACGCTCTGCTGCTCCACCTGCTCCACGCATCTCACTTCTGCTACTGGAAGAAAGAAGACGCAACATCCCAAAGCCACCGGAGCACACAGATCACCGGTCACAAGAGCAATCCCGGACGCGGAGCACACCCGCTCGGAGGGACCAGGCGGCCCCCATGGGGAGATGCGGGGAGACGCGGGGAGACGCGGGGAACAGCCACCCGACACTCACCTGACATTCTTGGCTGCTCGCCTGCGAGTCTGTCTTTTGGGAGCTTCATCATCTTCATCATCATCATCAGAAGAATCCTGCTTCTTTCTCTTTCCACGCTGAGTCTTAGTTTGCTTTTTAACACGAGGTTTAGGTATTGTTCTAAAAGGAGAAGTGAAAAAAAATGGCCAAGTTTTTACTTATTCAGTTGATATCTACTTCAAATAATCTAGGGACATACCTGGAATTTCGCCCAGGGGATGTTAAAAACACATATTCCTGGGCTGAACCCCTGGAATTCTGACTCACTTAAAAATCTGCACTTTCAAAGCCTGATAATCACCAGTCATTTATGAGAGACACTGAAAGATACTCATTTTTCATCAAAATCATCTGAAAAAAAGAATACATATGTGTGGCCTGATACAGTAGCCTAGTGGCTAAAGTTCTAGCCTTGCACACATCAGGATCCCATATGGGCACCGGTTTGTGTCCCAGCCGCTCCAAGTCTCATCCAGCTCCCTGCCTGTGGCCCGGGAAAGCAGTCGAGGACGGCCCAAAGCCTTGGAAACCTACACCCCCGTGGGAGATCTAGAAGAGGCTCCTGGCTTCTGATAGGCTCAGCTCCAACTGTTACAGACACTTGAGGAGTGAATCAGCAGATGGAAGATCTTCTCTTCCTGTCTGTAAATCTAACTTTCCAATGAAAATAAATAAATCCATGTTTGTGTGTGTGTGTGTGTCTGATCTCGACTCTCGTGGACACACTGCAAACACACACTGAATTCAAAGGTAAAGGAATTCCTCCTGAAGACACAGCCTCCCGCAGTGGAGGCACAGCCCAATGTTGTGCCTCATCTGTAGTCACAGGAGGCTAGAAGGCCTGTACATGTCCATCCCCAGGAACGCCACAGGGCACTGTGCAGTCCTCAACAGTACGCAGGGAGTGCCCTGTGCCCTGTACTGCTGGGGAAGGATTTACAAGACAAAAACGATGCAGGAAGCCACTGTCTGTGTAAAATGCAGTAAGAAGGACACGTATTTTTCTTGCGGGTGCCCAAACAGCCCCTCCGGCAACACCCAGGCACCCACAGGCCTGAGCACAGCCTAGAAGCGCGCCCACAGGGATCCTCCTACAGGCAGCGAAGAGGAAGGATGGAAGCGGCCCAAGGGAGACGGATGTTCCCTGTCATTTTCCTGTTTCTTTCTGATCTACTGGAACAAGCTCCAGACCCATGATCAAGGACTCAGTGAATGGGCCCAGGAAGAACAGATAAACCTGCAGTACCATGTCAGTCCTCCCTGTTGGCCAGAGGGAGCAAGCCCCCCAGGGCCGCAAGCTGCAAGAGCGCAGAGAGGGACAGGGCTTAGAGGCCTCTGGCCAAGAGGCAGGACTGAAACCGTTACAGAGGCTTTCACGAACGCACAGGAAATTCAGAACCTAACTATCAATGAGTACATGTTTTTTGTAACATATACACATCCTATTTAAAGGATTCCTTTTTTTTAGTAGTGGGGAGGGAGTAATACATCACTTGACTGAGGCTCAAATGTAGCACTCTTACCAAGCTACCACTCGAAATGCTCACCTAGGAAGCGACCTCTGCTGTCAGGCCACCCAACGGTAGGCATTTGGCCCAAATGCCACGGATGCCCGACCCCAAGCCAAGCAATACTGCAGGAGGCCAACCCTCCTGTCTGTCCCCTGAGTATTTTCCTGTTATCACATCCAAGGTGGCCACCCATCTGATCAAATATGAACACACTGTGCTGGCATCCTGGCCTCTCTCCTCTCCTCAAGACTCCCTGCGTAACACTGCATGTGTTTTATGAACAGGTAAATCAAGGTCAGGTTTGCTCTGAGCCAATCAGACCCAGTTCTAAACTGAACAGGTAGTTCTTACAAGAACCAGCCAAACATTGAGAAGGTGTTTTTGTTAAAGAGGAAGACAGGTGGCGGGGTTGCAGCAAACACACTGAGACCACCATGAACACCCTGGAGGCGTAGCTCCTTTCTAGTGGCCTGCCACAGCAGCGGAAGATGGCCCGAGCACCTAGACCCTTGCCACCCTGTGGCACACCCCAAGGAAGATGCTGGCTCCCCGTGGCCAGCTGGCCCGGCCGTGGATGGCCCGGCCATGGCCAGCTGCAGCCACCCATGGATGAAAGATCTCTGTCCCTCCCTCTGCGTAACTGTGCCTTCCAAGTAAATAAATGAAACTGTAATAAATAACAGCTAGTAACTATAATAAACAACAGCTAGTCGGGTGTGAAGCAGAGACCCCGAGATTCACTAAGACAGCTGTGTCTACACAAACACCCCAAGTGGTCGGTGTAAGTAAGCAGCCCAGCATGTGAGCACCAGCTGAGGGCATGGCCTGGCAGGAGGGCCGGGCGCAGGCGGCCTGGGCATGGCGCCTCAGTGAGGCTCTCCCACGGGCACAGCCTCCTCCTCCCACTCATGCGCATGTGGAGCTCCTCCAGCACCCTGGGCAAGGGGGCACCTTCTGGGCACAGGTCTTCTGGCTTTCCCTTTTTTCTGTTCTGCTTCGCTCTCTGCACTGGTGCCTTGCTCTTGTTCATCTTCTGACGGCTCCCGTTTCCATTTTTCTCTGCGATCAAAAGCAAAACAAAGTAATTTTTTTCCTTGAAGAATCCTTTAAGCTGAATCAACTTCAATCTGATCCAAATGGCAGAGCATGCATGTTCTAGACATCACAAGATAAGAGATGTACTGTAGCTCCATGTTTTACACTGACGGCCGCACAGCATCTACGCCTGTCTGTCTTCTGGGAACAAACAGTAATGGAAATGGCAAGTACCGGGTAACTGACACTCACTCCAGCAGCGCGAGGAGATGCTGCCCGGCTCTCCTGCTCTGCCTTATGTCCGCCCTCCATGAGAAGATGGAAGCCACAGCAGGTGTAGCATCAGTGCCAAAACATGAAGCGGCATGGGAGAGCTCCCCCCAGCTGAGGAACAGGCTCAGCTAAAGATGTAGCTGCAGTCATTCCTTTACAAAAGGCAGTGGTCCGTGGCTCCCCGAGTGGTTCCGTGGCTCCCTGAGTGGTCCGTGGCTCCCTGAGTGGTTCCGTGGCTCCCTGAGTGGTTCCGTGGCTCCCCGAGTGCTCAAAGCTTCTCCTACAGGGCCCTGCCACCCTGGCTACGCGCTGTCCCTGTGGTGCACTGTGTGGCCTTCAAGATTTCCTTCCATTATGTCACAGGTGTGCGATAGAGACCAATTCAAACCACTGCACGCAGTCCTGAGCTAACACGTTTAACACTCCACAAGGTTTAGGCACTTCAACAAGCACCTCCAGCCCAACCCGGCCGTGAGTCAGAAGGCGAAGAGCAGCAGGTGCAGTAACAAAGCAGCAATGACCAGAAGCATGAATGGGCACAGTAAAACCCAAGGTCCAGCCTAGGCGATCTCATCATCAAGCCAAGGGAGAACTGTGGCAGACCACACCAGAGAGCACACAGCAGATATTCTCGAAGAAACTACAAATACAAATGTGTCAGACACAAACTCTCAATTCCATTGTTGCTCATTGATTAAAAAAATGTTTTCAATACCATGAAGCCCCAGGGTGAACCTTTAACCCCTTTAACCTTCAGAAAATGCTGATACACATTGTAACTATTGTAACTCTGGGGAGTTAGTCACTGGGTAACTTGAAAGAATAGTCCCTTGTAAGATGGGCTTACTAAAAACGTTAGTGTCATAAAAGCAAAAAAAAAGTCTACATGTGTGACAGATAGAAGCCACCCAATGACCCCAGCACAGCACCGACCCTGGAGGGAGCATGCAGCAGCAGCAGAGAAAAGGATAGCTGAATAAACTGCACTGTGAATATTACACTGCCTTGATGAAAGACAATATCCTTCCTCTTAACAAATACACATTTAAGTAGATTTAAGCAGTTAGGGATACTGAAGAACGAAACCTTGGGGTCTGTGCGGTAATCCTGCAATGCTTCCATCCCATAACGGGGCCAGATCATGTCGTTTCTGCTCCCTGCATATGGCCTGGGACAGCAGTGGCAAAGGCCAGAGCCCATGGGTCCCTGCACCCAGAGGGAAGGTCGGAACACTGTCCTGGCTTCCAGCGTCAGCTAAGTCCGGCTGCAGCCAATGTGGCTGTCTGCAGATGAACCAGTGAATGAAGATCTGTATCTCTCCCTCTCTGACTTTTAAGTAAAATAAATAAATCTTTAAAACAAATAAATAAAAAAAAATACACAAAATGCTATCATTTGTAACTGAAGGAGTGAAACTGGAGGTCAACGATGAAAGCCAGAAGACAAAAGAGGCATATTATACGGTTCGCATCATGTAAAGAAGTTACAGCAACAGCAATCTGAAATGCTAGTGATTGCCTGAGCCCGGACAAGTGAGGGACAGAGGGGAGACGAGGGCCAGATAAAGGACACACCAGAGCAACCACGGCAGGGCAGCGAGCAGCCAGAGCTGCTGAGCACCAGACATGGCAGAGGGCCACGCCATGGAGGAGAGGACACGGGCTGCTTCCACCAAGGACCATTCACATTGTGAGTCTGCACCAAGGGACGCCACTGGGCCTCACAGAGGTGTACAACTACTACACACTTAGAAAGACTGGATCAGAAAACTTTCTAAATAGGTCCCTGCTTGTGGCCTGGGAAAGCAGCAGAGGATGGCCCAAAGCCTTGGGACCCTGCACCCACACGGGAAACCAGGAAAAGGTTCCTGGCATCAGACTGGCTCAGCTCTGGTCATTGTGGTCATTCAGGGAGTGAATCAATAGCTCTTTCTGTCTCTTCTTTCTAAATCTGCCTTCCCAAATATTTAAATATGCATGTGTATACATATGGTATTGGTGAGCACAGTGGCATAGGGCACGAGGCTTCTGATTGCAATACCAACAACGTCTATGGGTACATTTTCAAGTCCAAGCTGCTGTACTCCTATTCCAGTTCCCTCCTCATAGCCCTAGGAAGGCATGGGAGGATGGCTCAAGGCGCTGCATCACACGCACAGCAGTGCCCTGCTCCCGGCTCCACACTGGCTTTTCAGCCACTGCAACGATCTGGGCAGTGAACCAGCAGATCAAAGCGCTCTCTCTCTAACACTGCTTCTCAAATAAAAATAAATAAATCTTTTTTATTAAAAAAAAAAAAAAGTCACCGGTAGCTGGGGCAGAACAACCACTGCAACATGCAAGATCTACAGCTGGGAACAGACTGGGTCGGGGAGCTAAGGGGACACCTTGCCGTGCCTGTGGTTCCCAATGGTGAACACACAGCTGGAATGGGAGCCGCATTCTGGTCTGGACAGGGCTGCAGCATACCTTGATAAAAGTGTGGACTGGGACTGAGTGTGTCGGACTGGGCTAGACTCGAGCACCCACTGGTGCTCATGAGGACTCTAGTAGGTGTCTGACGCGCTAGGCTAGGTTTTTGCTCCTGCTGAGCTGGGTGTGAGCAGCATCTGCGTGTGGACCAGGCTAGACTGGACTGTAACACACAACAATAATAACTGGATGGGTCGAAGGCCGGTCAGTGGACAGAGGGGAGACAAGACAGAGGGGAGACAATAGGCCATTATTCCTGTTAGGTCAGGAGGCGGACCAAGTAGGGCTGGCCCACGGACCCACCTGTGTGCACAAGATCTGGCACTGGGGGAGGTTCTGATGGAGGAGCCTGGGAAACGCCTCTGTCAGGACACCAACCTGCAGGTGAGTGCAAGAATCAAGAGAGGGAGCAGCCCAGACCAGGCCAGGGAACAGTATCCATGGGCATACACATGAAGCAGGTCGGGAGCAAACCAGGCAGGCAGAGTTCACATCACGTGCTGGCAAATCCGAGCACCAGAATGGAGTATTAGGCCAGGTTTAGTCACAACACACGTCAGTACATATGAGGGCATAGATTGGGTGCCAGCTGGGCTAAACTAGGCTTTAGCCCCCAACAACCTGAGCTGGATTCGGGGGTAGGCAAGGCCTGGACAGGCTACAGCACCCATTGGCAAAAGCCTAGGTAAGGTAGGCCATGTAGACCAGGCTATGGCGCCCTACCAGCACACGCAAGACTGTGGGGGCAGGGAGCAAAGCCGGTAGGTAGAATGTAGAGAACTCCCCTGCTAGACCACCACTCCCACTGCAGAGCATGAGCTGGGATGGGGGCAGACCAGACCAGGCAGGGCTACAATACCTGTAGGCCTCATGTGAGCTGAACCAGGGAAAAGCCATGCTGGGTTGACTGTTCTTTCTGGTGCAAGTATAAGTCAGAGTGGGTGAGGGCTGGTTGGGCTTTGCCACAGCATCAGCTAATAGATGCTGGCACAGGGGGCTAATTCTGTCAAGTTAAACTCCAGAACAACCTGATAAGTACATAATTTGGGAGTTAGAGTGGCTTAGTAAGGAAAGAGTGGGCACCTCCCTCCTGGAATGCCACTTCGTCTGTGAGCATGAGAACCAGGACTTGAGCAGGCATGGCTAGACAGAGAGTGGGATCCGTCGGCAGCTGTGGGGCTGGATAGTGGGGCTGGTTGGGTTGAACTAGGCTTCAATGCCCATTGACATGTACGAGAGCTAAATGGGATGTGGGACAGACTGAACAAGTCTGCTGTATATACTGGCAAACATGGGAACCAGGACAGTGGGCAGACCTGGTGGGGGTTACAGGGAGTCGCCCCAACTAGCTGCAGCTCCCACTGGTTTACATAGACAAGTATGTGGTGGGCAGGATCAGGGTGGGCGGCAACATCCATTGGTTTGTGTAAAAGACAAGGCTGGAAACAGAACTACCCCAGCAATTGCAACGACCAGCATATGCATAAGCTGACTGGGGTGACAGACTGTGCCGGGCCCTATACTGGCATGCACACCCAAGAATCAGGTCTGGGATCCCTTCAGACGAAGTTTCTTTGGAGATTCTCCAAATCGAACTGCTGGACTCAGAACTCCAACCATGAAGAGAATTGCAGGCTCCATGGTCTGACCGTGGAGTCCATATGTCAAAGCTGAGCTGCCTCAGTGGCTCAGACAGAGCAGTGGTCAGTACATCCAGCTGCACATGGAGGATGGCAGGACATTGGAGCCTGCATAGGACACCTGGTACCACGACAGAGGACAGAGCAAACTGATCAACTACCCCAGCCAAGTGTTGGCAGTGGAGACGCTCAAGTGGACTGTGTCAGCCAGTGGACTCTGAAGAGACTTCATCATGCCTGGAAATGGCGAGACTGGCAGCAATTCAGAACAGCTGAACTATCGAAACCACCTGAGCAATGCCTCGGAGCACACCGCACATGGGGACCCTGGGATGCTTGGGAGGTTGGATGAGGCTTCTCCCTTTGTCTCTTCCCTTCCCCCGCCACCCCACACACAGGAAGGAAAAAAAGAGAATGGGGAAACAACAGTCTTACCCATTTTCCTGTGACCTTTGAACCTTTGTGCCCTAATCAACTATGTAAAAATCATCCAAAAAAAAAGTCATGGTATATAAACATTAGTCTCAAATGCTCCCAAAAGAAATGTGTGTCTGTATAAACATATATCAAGGCAGTGCCCACAGTAACAAAGAGAGGGGCCAAAAACCACAATCACGACTAAATCTCAGAATAGTACTATCACAGCTTTTCTGAAGTTTGAAAGTATTACTTTAAAAGAATTTCTTAAATATTCATTGATTTTTATTGGAAAGGCAAATCAGATTTGTACAAAGAGAAGGAGACAGAGAAAGATCTTCCACCTGCTGTTTTACTCCCCAAATGAGCCCAACAGCTGGAACTAAGCGGCTCCAAAGCCAGGAGCCTTTTCCAGGTCTGCCACGCAGGTGCAGGGTCTCAATGCTTTGGGCCATCCTTGATTGCCTTCCCAGGCTAGAAGCAGGGAGCTGGAAAGGAAGTGGAGCAGCTGGGATACGAACCAGTGCCCATGAGATACCCAGCGTATACAAGATGAGGATTTTAGTCACTGAACCATCACACCGAGCCCTAAAATGTTTAATGAAGTATTTTCTTTCTGAAAATTCCACATTGAGCTCCATCTGAAAGGTTAAGAACATGTTTCCTTGTAAGAATATTGCAGAATGTTGTCCCTCATCTCTAAGACCCACGTGCCTCGGATGAGAGGGCCCTGCAGGTGGGGCTGTGACGGGCGAGGGATGCTGTCAGACTCGGAGGACAGGCTCCTGTGGGCACACACTAGTCCTGAAGGCAGGCTGGCCATGCACACACACTCTCGGGGACCAGCAAGCAACCTGGGCTCACACAAGGTCCTACGCAAGAGCCCAGGCAGGAAGCAGTGTCCATCAGGATACATTCCATCCCGGAAGGGGAGGAAAGGCCCATGAAGAAGCCAAGCCAATGTCGGGATGCACTTCAGAACACCAAGTCCATGGGCTGGTGTGTTACACACCAACTGCAAAAAGCCGGCTCTTCCCCCCACCACACACACACACACAGCAAAGGCCACTCCAATGGAAAGTCACAATTTCAAGCACAACACCATTGGAGCCAAGAAACAGACAGAGTAGCCAGATGGTGGAGGACAAAGGCATAGGCTGACCTGCTCCCCCGCGCTCCGGGAGGCAGAGGCCAGGCCCCCAAGCCCACACGGCCCCAGGACCAACACAAGCCTTCTACCACGCTGCGTGGGAGCTTGCTTCAAGTGATACTGACTCCAAGTCTCAGTCAGTATTCAATGTACAAATGAGAAGCAAATGCTCTGGGCAGGACATCAGCACTGCCTTTCCTGCAGCCTGCTGTTAACAGCTGCTGTTCCTCATCACAAAATCTTACCATGCTTTCTAATAACCTTGTTGGGCGGGCAAAGTCAGTCTATCTAGTCTGGAGATGGGGAAATGGGGCTTCAAAAGCTCAAACCACTTGCTTCTGGTCGCTTATTAAAGACCACCACTATAATCCTAGACTAACAGAGCCACACATACATATCTAATACAATAACTCCTGCATTGGCACGCAAACTTTTCAATGCCTACATTGTTCTGAGAGATCTACGGAATTCATATTTTCGAAAAGATACACACCTTCTCCAAAAACATTTTTTAAATTATTTCAACAGAATAAAGTTTCACTGTAAGCCAATTATAATTTAGAAAAACACTGAACACATAATCTGTTAAGAGTTTTCCATTTTCTCTACATTACTACATGAAAAAAACACGTAATCTCAGAACAAAATGGGAAGCCAACCAGCACATTCTGCCGTATCAGTACACGATGGAATGACGATGGAAAATCTACACTTTTTCCTAGTTGCACTACAACAGCAGCTGCCTGCACACGTTTGGGGTGACGCACATTTAAAGGGAACAACAGCTGGACTAGTCGGGCTGGGAGAGGCAAAGCCGGGGGCTTCCCCTGAGACCCGGCATATCCCTGTGGGGTCCCCGGGCCCCCCCAGGCCTGCGGCGGCAGTCACCCAGGCAGCATGAGGAAGGGCAAAGGCAGGCGGTGCCTGGTCGGCCTCAGTCATCTCCTCCCCCGGCACACTTACTGTTTCTTCAGCTGCCTCTGGCCTCTTCTTTTTGGGCTCCCACTCTCAGACCCGCTACTGGCCTTCCGTGCATGAGGGGAGAAACGGTTAGACTTTAATTGACAGTTTTTCGGGACAACGCTACCCCCACTTAGCAACCTACTCCGCGTGCCATGCGTCACTATAAGCTGTTAAATTTTGCACTTGTTGGCAGAGCCCCTCCTCCTGCTTGAAAGCTCCCTCCCTCCCTGTGGTTCCTGAATGGTACCTCAACCCAGAACGCACTTCCTGCAGCCTAGCTGCTGAACAGCCCTCGCCCACGGCATCTTCCACAGTGCCTCCAAGGCCACCAGCCGCAGGCGAACACTGGCCATCTGCACTGTGGCAGGTGTGGGTGAGGGGAAGAACACTGAATCCATTTAGGATAAGGAGTAGGCAGCACCATATTGATGGTGCAGACCAGACTGCGCAGCGGGCAAGGTCCCCGTCAGCGGTCAGTATGCCTGTGGGAACCAGCTCCTGTCCTGCTGTCCTCATCTCGGGCAAAAGCCAGCAGTGCCCTGCCAGGAGCAGGCCAGAAGTGAGTCACAGCTCTTGGCCACCTCTGCTCCTGCTGTCAGTCTGATGCCCTCTGTTCATAAAGGGGGTAAGCAAACAGATGGCCAGAACATATATATCCGTAGATTCAATTACAGCCCCGGCACCAGCTCAGTGCTCCGAGAGGGAAGCAGAGAAGCCAGCTCCAGAGACAGGCTGCTGTGTGCAACTTTTCATTACACTAACTCAAAAACCCACGTCCAACTCGCTGACCTTGGCTTACTCTTGCTGTGTGGTGTCACAGCATCGCCATCCTACGGCAGCAGGAAGGGCGCAAGAGCACAGCATGCAGAAATAAGGCACTGAGCAGCCTGCCTCTAAGACGGACCATCACGTCCCCAAAGCAGCCAACGGCTCCGCAGCAGCTCAGACATTGTTACAGATGCTGAAAATCCCTTTTCTGCCCCATTAAAAATAAGCCAGAAGACCAAACTGACAGTGACTTATAAAAAGAAGACCAAGCACTACTTACAGGAGGCACTCCCTCCTCCTTTCTTAGCAACGGTTCCAAAACTTCTCCTTGTTTCTTTTGCTCAGCAAACAAGTCTGCGCAGACCGCCCCCCATGCCCAGCTGGAGGCCGCACAGTGCCCGCTGGGCTGAGACCCCCCCCCCCGCCCAGCTGGAGGCCGCAGAGTGCCGCTGGGCTGAGACCCCCCCCTGCCCAGCTGGAGGCCGCAGAGTGCCCGCTGGGCTGAGACCCCCCCCTGCCCAGCTGGAGGCCACAGAGTGCCGCTGGGCTGAGACCCGCCCCCTGCCCAGCTGGAGGCCGCAGAGTGCCCGCTGGGCTGAGACCCGCCCCCTGCCCAGCTGGAGGCCGCAGAGTGCCCACTGGGCTGAGACCCCAGAAAAGCAGCACCTCTGGAACCGGGAACCATAACAATGTAGCATTGTACTTGTGGGACACCTAGTTTGTTTAATTAAACATTCATTAAACAGCTGCTTCGTCTGTGAATTCAGAGCCTAAAGTGCAGCCTTAACCACACAATCCCTGCTGAGCCGGAGAGGGGCAGCCACACAGAGGGAACTGTTGGATGTCTTACCTCCTCCTTAATATTAAATCGGGACGGTTCTTGTCTGCTTCGGTTTGACCGTCTGACCCCATACACATCAGGATACTCTTCCCACATCTGGTAAACGAACACAACACCAGTGAGCCCTTTTGCCTGACCCCCATTTACTACTGCAAGATAATTCAAGAGAAACAACTAAATACCAAAGGGTTGTTTTGTTGGTTGTGTTTATAAGACACCACGTCACCTCCAGGCACAAGACGCTAGAAGACCAAATTGCACAATATCCTTCTCCACCTGGCGGTTATTGAACTATACTGCTTGCCCATGGTTAAAATAGAAACTCACAGCTGAGCAACCTGGCAGGAGAGCAATTCTTTCTACTAAAGATAAAGCATTGACTGAGGAATTTTAAATTAGCATGCGTCAAGTTTTAAGCTGTGTGTCTGTGTGTATGTGTGCGCTTACTCATTTAAAAAGCAGGCAAACCCATAGAGAGCCCATCTGCTCATTTAGTCCCCAGATGCCTGCGCAGGAGGGACTGAGCCACCCTCCCAGGGTGTGCAGTGAGGAGCCAGACCTGGACCTGCTGCTTCACGGAGGGGGTGCAGTGTCCGGGCAGCCAAGCCCAACAATGTTCCCTCTCAAATCCTTAGTTTCCTGTGATCTTCTCGAACAAAGGCGATACTTACGGTATCAGAGAGCACCATCATAAATTGCAAACAAGTTAGAAACTTCCTTTGTAACTCCTGAGTACCACGGCTTCTTTCATCTCTCCTGCAAAGAACTCCCCACTGCAGAGAAGGAATCAGTCCTCCAGGCTTCAACCCCTCACATCCCGGGCAAGGGGCAGGGTGCTCGGCTCACCGCAGCCCTTAGCCAAGTGAGAGGCGGGATTCAATTTCCACATCAACTCCTGAACCCAGCAGCCTGCAAATGCTGTGCTGGCTACAGGAACTGGGTCCCCATCCCCAACACAGGAGCCTCCTCCAGTGTGGGTGCAGAGCAAGGCAACCTACTCTCTACATGTCTGCACCCACCCCCTTTCTCTACGCCTCTTAACTTGAAGGAAAAACCAAGAACAAAACAAAGCCCGGCCTAGATGTGCACCTAAGACAGACTCCGACAGCCAGCACTGTCAAGGCCTCCTGCCACACGCGCAGGCAGCAGGCCCACGAGCTAGTACCTCCCAAGGTTTGTTTTTGAAAGAAGCGAGTACTGCAGTTGTCTTTTTGCAAGGTGTACACCCTGAGCAGACGACCGAGAACACTAGAGCATCTGGAGTCACCTCCTCCAGCAGGGGTACTCCCGCCCTCCGCCTCTGAACACTGCCCCTAAGCAACGACAACACCAACAAGGTAAGAACAGCAACACGGCCACCGCCAAGAACACCAAGGTAAAAGCAGCTTAGTTTTATTTTTTAACCATAGGTTTCCCAAGGTATTTCTGTAGCCCTTGCAGGTAATTCAAAAGTGTGCATTCTGACAAGAATCTGGATACAAAAAACACAGAAACATCTTAGACTAACATGGCTTAACCAAAAAATAATTAGCACCAAGAACTGTATTTCATTAAGACATCGCAACCCCACTTGTGCCTCAGCTGGCAGCCTCTTCTGGAGCGAGCAGCACCTGAGCCGCCCAAGCAAAGGCCGGATCCGCCCGCAGGAAGTCATTTCCCTCCTGGACGGTGGCTTCCTACTGTTCAGCTTTACAGCTGGATCCCAAACCAAACAGCAGTCAGCACTGCCTGTCCACAATTTCTCTGGTATCAGCACATTGTAAAAAAAAATTAAACATCATTTTTAAACATTAATACTAAAACTTCAAACTGTATCCTTTTGCAACTGGGTGGTTCGCATAACTGAGCTTTTCCTCCAGGTCTGATATTATCACTCCCCTGGGTTAGGACAGAAAGTCCCCTGCAATGTCCAGAGACAGTGTCGAAACCAACAACTGGGGGGTGAGGCAGTGCTGGCAGGTTAGGCCTCCACCTGTGATGTCAGCATCCCATATGGGCACTGGTTCAAGTCCCAGCTACTCCGTTTTTGGATCAGCTCCCTGCTTATGCGCCTGGGAAAGGAGCGAGAGATGGCCCCAGTGCTTGGGCCCCTGCTCCCACGTGGGAGACCCGGACGATGTTCCATGCTCCAAGCCTGGGCCCAGCCCTGCCCCAGCTACGGCAACGGGAATGAACCAGGGGAGCAAAGACCTCTCTCTCTGCCTTTCCAACAGATAAAATAAATCTTGAATCAATGAAGACAGGAAAGCAGGGCACCGCACACAGCCGGCAGCGTGTTCGCTCAGCACATACCTTCTTTACGTCAGCTATCCGTTCCTTCTTGGACGCTGGCTTCTCTTTGGCTTCCGGAAGGGCTGGCTGGTTCTTGGAACCCGCCGATTCGCTCTCAGACTCCGATGCACTCTCAGAAGCTTCAGAGCTGCTGTTGGACTCACTGCCATGTCCACTTCCTGGCTCACTGCCTGGCTCGCTTTCCGACTGGCTCCCCGAGTCTGAGCCCGACGCGTCTTCAGAAGCTGAATGACTTCCCGTGGAAAAGAGAGATCAAGAAATATCAAAGGCGCCCTGCCCTGGCACCCAGAGCTGGGCTCGACCTCCCGCCCAGGCCCCTGCCCTGGCACCCAGAGCTGGGCTCGACCTCCCGCCCAGGTCCCTGCCCTGGCACCCAGAGCTGGGCTCGACCTCCCGCCCAGGCCCTGCCCTGGCACCCAAACCCCTAACTTTCTCCACTCACCGATTCCTTCCCTTGCCCCCACAGTCCTGCCACACTGAAGCACAGCACCAAGCCACTGAGGCAGCAGGCTGAGCCTCTGGTGGCAAGGTTCCCCTTCTCCGGGAAAGCAGCCTTCATGAGGGTGCGGCGCCCCATGCTGGGCACTGAGTAGATCCAGGGCAAAGCAGGCACCTGAGCTGAGCTGAGGCCAGGGCGCAGCAGGCTCTCTCCACACCTGAGCCAGTGGTGCACATGCCAGCCAACACCACCTAGGTCCCTGTACCTGGAGCCATCCACCTTCCTCCACATTCCCCACACCTGGGCAGGGCAGGCAGATTCAACCTGCCCACATTTCAAAATGCCTGACTCCGTTTCTCAACCACTACAGCTAAGCCTTAGGGTAGACTCAGTGTTGGCATCCACCACGAATGAAAGCAGCCAGAAGCCACAGAATGGTTCCTGGTGCCCCTGGAAACAAAATTCCCAACAGCGAAGACTGAAAATCTTCAGCCATCAGGTTCAAGATGCTGGGAACAACAAAGGGCAGCGTGAGCCACAGCACACGCAGGGCCAGGGCAATGCCACGCAGAGGGCACAGGACCAGCCCTGGGCGCCCCAGACTGCAACCACCCATCCCTAGCAAAGGGACAGACACTCCGAGCAAGAGACTAGTTCACTGCACCCTGACAGCCGCCTTCTGCTCAACTGCCACAGGGCCAAGCAGAGAAGGGGAACTTAACCAATCACTCCCTGAAACACACTCAGCATTCACTCACACCTCCCTCCCTGAGAACACACTCAGCATTCACTCACACCTCCCTCCCTGAGAACACACTTAGCATTCACTCACACCTCCCTGAGAACACACTCTGCTGTGTGACTCCCTAACCACAGGAATTTAACTTCCTCAAGCCTAGCAATGCACTCAGCAGTCCCTGGATGAAAGCATAGCCAAGCTGTATCAGTAGAGCAGTTTGCACGGAAATGCATTCTAAGACCCAGGAGCTGACAGAGCTCCTCTCAGCTCAGTGAGTTATCTGAAGCTCTCAAAAGCCTAACGCACCACTGTATTTACCTCTGGGGCCTGAGGGAGCCAGCTGTGGCCAAAGGACAGCAGTGACACTTAGGACAAGCTGAGGGGGGAAGTTCATGTGTTTGTTACACATCAAACATGCTAAATTTTTTTAAGATTTCTTTTTTTTTTTTTTTTTTTTTTTTTTTTTGGAAAAGCGGATATACAGAGAGGACGAAAGACAGAGAGGAAGATCTTCCATCCTATGGTTCACTCCCCAAGCAGCCTCAATGGCTGGAGCTGAGCTGATCTGAAGCTGGGAGCTAGGAGCTCTTCCGGGTCTCCCACGTGGGTGCAGGGTCCCAAGGCTTTGGGCCGTCCTCAACTGCCTTCCCAGGCCACAAGCAGGGAGCTGGATGGGAACTGGAGCCACAGGGACATGAACCAGCACCCATATGGGATCCCGGCGCATTCAAGGCAAGAACTTTAACCACTATGCCATCACACTGGGCCCCAAACATGATAATGTTTAAACTAGTTTACTGTCTGAAAAAAAAATCTCCTCGAAGCCAAGCCAAGGCAAGGGTTCCATGGGTCTCCTTTCCCACCCAGACTGCGCTGAGGCCAATGTGCGCTGCCATGACCATCCAGGTTATCCGTGATGAATTTCCAGCAAGCCAGGTGAAGACCAGGGGGAAAATTTCATACACCTTAATAAAGACGTCACTCAAAATAAATAAATAAATAAACAAAGGCATTATTCAACTTTAATACTTCTTAAAGGAAGACACATTTCCACAAGAAATGGACAAGAGTAGGTACCAAGCAGATGGGGGCATGGGGAGTTCAGGAGCCAGCACATAGCTCAACAGGCCAATCCTCCACTTCCAAGCACCAGCACCCCATGTGGGCACCAGTTCACATCGCAGCTGCTCCACTTCCCACTCACCTTCCCGCTTGTGACCTGGGAAAGCAGCAGAGGGTGAATCAAGCCCCTGGGACCCTGCCTGCCTCAGACAGACCTGACGCCTGCAGCTATGTAGAAGTGAATCGGTAGCTGGAAGACCTTCCTGTGACTCTCCCTCTACTAAATAAATCCTTTAAAAACAAAGAATAGGTTCTCTCCACAGGAACAGGAGCAATGGGAGGCTTGGGGCCTTGGGGTCTACATCAAAGGAGCAGGGCGCCAACACCTGCAGCCTCCAGCCCCCTCCTGCCCCCTGGAACCATAGGTGTGAGCGGTGGGGGGTGAGGGGCGTCCCTGGGAAGCAGATTGCTGCAAGCACCCTTCTGGCCCTGAGCTCAGTGGTGGTGGCTGGTGTGAGGGCAGTTCCTGGGAAACAGATGTCCAGCTCGTGCCCTCAAGGACACAGATGTGGACCTGGAGCGAACAGAGCTCAGCTGAACAAGCAGCACTCACAAGGGCTTCTCCCACAGCCCCCCAGGCCAGCTGCCCTTCCTTCACGAGCACACATGGCCTTTCAGGGAAGCTCAGAGTGGAACCAAGCAGTCGTGGGGAACCAAGAGGACCCCAACAGACCTGCAGAAATACAAACAACTGCCATCTGGAAGTGTTGGAGAAATCTTGTCAAATAAGCTAGGCTAGACCAATGGGCAATCGACAGCAGGCAGAGCTAACCTTCAGGACAAACAGAACAAATCTGTACCCTCCACTCTCGAAATGAGACCCGCTCAAGAGTCACCCAGAAGTGCCAGTCAGAAAAACTTTGTCGAACAAACAAAAGAGATTAGAACTATCTCCAGCAAAAACAACTAGAGGTACTGGAAATTACCAGCAGCCTTGTGCTGGGTGCAGCTCTCAGCCACAACAGAATGCGGAGGTCTTCGCTCATGATCAGTCTCCCAAGAGTAAGCCTGCTTAGCCTGGATGCTGCCAGTGGAGAACTGAGCACAAAGCACAGAATATTCAAGGAATAATGTAAATAAACTTTCCTTCCTGCCTAAGCCAGCTAAACAGAGCACTTGCTGAAGCACCTGCTCAACTCCCAAAGCCATCCTCCAAGATGCAGCAACACTGCAACCCTGAAGCACGGCCGGGGTCACAGCAGGTGCAGCGTGCCACCGCCTGCCACCGCCTGCCACCGCCTGTCACAGCAGCACTGCACATGCACACCACTCCATGTCCCACCGCATTCACTGTTGGCGTGTCTAGGGCCACAGTCCATGGGGGGATCGGGAGGTACCCCTCCTGGCTCCCGACTCCAGCCTGGCCCCCGGGGCCATGAACCAGTGAATAAAGGCCATTAGGCTTCCATCCCTCCAACGCGGACTTTCCAGTAAGTCAGTCTTTAAAAAAAAAATTGAAAGAGTATGTACTTATTTTAAAGAAAAGCTATGTGTAGTGTTAGGGCATGGGGTTGGGGCAAAAGCAGCTGCCTGCAGTGTGGCGGCTGTGGGGGATGCCCCAGCCAGGCCGGACCCAACGCCGGGGACTCGGGCCATGATCACCACGGACAGGTGGAGTCGCAGGCTTTCTCCAGGCCCGAGAGCTCTTCCCTCAGGGTAAATACACCATGAGGGAAACTGGGGAACTGGTTTAAGGCCCTGTCACTATGATCCTGCAGCAGGAAGAGCCAGGGCAGTGATTGGCCATGGCGCTGGGGCCAAGGGAGCCTGCTGCAGCTGGCTGCTGACGGGAGTGCCCCAGCCAGGCCAGATCCAAGGCTGGGGACCCAGGCCATGGCCACTGTTGTAAAGTGGTGACCAAGTCCTAGGCTGCTGCCCGCCAGGGAGCGCTCTAGGGTTTTTAGAATATGTAATTGCTACCTAGGGACATTCATGGATAAGGCCAGTGTGAGTGGAGGTGAGGGATGAATTCTAGGAGATTCCAGCAACAGGGTCACAGAACTTTCTGGCAAGTGTGGGGACTAAGACCTGGTGATTTGCAGGGGAGAGTCCATAAAATCTATTTCAGCCAGACTGATTCACCAGCCCAAACGGGAATCCTGAGATAGGCTGTTAGCATAGAGCATCACTGACGGCCACTCAGGAGGCACCACCAAAGCTATGGATGGAGGCCTGTCTGGCAGGGCTAGGTACCAGACCTGAGTGGTGGAACAGTGGCAGGTCACACTTGGCAGGGTCAAGACGCTAACCAGCACGTGAAAGAACCAGATCCAGGGGGTAGACTCTCTGGGGGAAAGTGTGGGCTGCACTCTATAGAAATGAAAGTCCCGGGCCCGGCGCGGTGGCGCAAGTGGTTAAAGTCCTCGCCTTGCACGCCCGGGATCCCATATGGGCGCCGGTTCTAATCCCGGCAGCCCCGCTTCCCTTCCAGCTCCCTGCTTGTGGCCTGGGAAAGCAGTCGAGGATGGCCCAAAGCTTTGGGAACCTGCACCCGCGTGGGAGACCCAGAAGAGGCTCCTGGCTTCGGATCGGCGTAGTATCGACCCGTTGCGGCTCACTTGGGGAGTGAATCATCGGATGGAAGATCTTCCTCTCTGTCTCTCCTCTCTGTACATCCGCCTTTCCAATAACAAAATAATAAAAATAAATCTTTAAAAAAAAAAAAAAAAGAAATGAAAGTCCCACTGGTTAGCTCACAAGCTGAGGTGGCAATGGGCTGAGTAGGTGTGACCATAGCACCTGCCATTACTTACTGGTAAAGGAATCAACAACAGTCTGGGCAGGTCAAGGCAGCAGCACCAAAACGTGCATCATAAAATAGGATGTGGGGTGGGTCGAGCTGCAAATGGAAGGGGGCAGACCAGGTAGGGCCAAGCAAACCTCGACTCACAAGAAGAACATAATTCAGGAAGCAGCACAAGTCATGCCGAAG